TCAATTACTGAACTAAATTTGACAGCAGATAGATGGTAACAGTGTGCAATTACCATTTAAAGACTTGATAATTATGGTAAGAATTAGTCTGCATTTTCAGCAGCAGCGAAATCCATCCGTTTTGAGCAGTTATTATCTTGATTATGAGAAGGAACAGATCCAGCTCTGTCTTGTCAGGCTGACAGAACCCTGCAGGTACAATGGGTCCTGATAAAGGGCTCCACGGAGCTGGAATTTTCCTCCAGAAAAACCTGGGAACTTCAGTGGCAGACGTGAGAAAAATCTCATAGTGGGAACATTCAGCGAGGAGGGATGTGGACAAATTTCAGTTCATGGATAATAGGAAGGAGAAATGCATATTTTCATGAGGTTTGCCAAAATTAGTCAAAATATGGCCTTTGTAGATGCTTAAATGTTCAGTTTTGAAAGGCAGAGTCAGTGACAGACTCACAATTCTACATATTTAAAGAATTAACATGTTCTTCTTCCATTCTCCCTATGGTTTTATACAGTCTAAAGGAGGGGAGTTTTGCAACTATTTCTTTTTAAAAATTGTAAAATTCTCAATAAATCACCGACCGAGCCTGATGACCTTTCTTCCATGAGGAAGAAATAATCTGAAAACAAAACTGTTAAATTCTTCCTCTTAGTCATAATTCTGCAGCCCTGGGACTCCAGGAGCTGGGAGGTTCAGAAATGCTGGATTCAGGTAAATCCCTGGAGATGCTGCTGCTCTGGGAGAATGGAACCCTGTACAGGAAAGTGGCTGAGCCCAGCAGAGCTCAGCTCTAAATATATGCCAAAAAAAGCCAAAAATGTATAAAATCTGGAAGTTAAGAAGTTATCAGGACAGCAAACCATGACACCATTAACAACTAGATAATTCACATCCTTGAAGCCACTAAAAAATACAATTAAAAAAAGAGCAGTTTTCGGTTTTCTTTTTTTCTTAGTAAAAAAACTTCAAGAAGCTCCTCAAGAACTAAAAATTCCCCCCCAGCTGATGGTCAGGGGAAAGGAAACAAAGCAAACACTTCTCAGCAAACCATTCCCTCCTCGAAAAACTTGTGGCAAAACTCACTTAAATTGCTCCTGGTGAAGAGACAACGAAAACAAGTGGCTTTAGCAGCTGCTGTGGTGTTCCCCCCACCTCCCAGTGCTCCTCAAAACCTCCTGTTCCAGAGCTATTCCCCCTCCACTTGTCATGGCCACTTCCAGATCTCTTTGCTGCCACTACTCTTGGCAACAGTTATTTTTCCTCCAGAAGTTATTTTTCAAATTAGGTGAATTACCGTGTCAAACGATCCGATTTCACTGCACTTGGTGTGAATTTATTTACTTAGTGGTCTCTGGGTTCCATGCTGAGCTTGGAAAATTTACTCTTCTCAAAATTATGAATAATTAACCAGAACTCCTGCTCCATTGGAAGTTGCTACTCCAATTTTAGTTTAAATAGTCCAGGAATTATTTTATTTTTCTATGCATGTTTCATACAAATTGCCACTTAGAGGAAAGCAAATGCTCAGAACAGTGACTGCCTGAAGTCATAAAGGATCACACCCCTCTTAATGGTGAGCTTATTTTTATTAGAAGCTGCATTTGTGCTCTTCATTTTTCAATAAATAATCACAAAAAGGTATTCACTGAAAAATTCTCATGTGCAGGAAGGATTGACACAAGTGATTCCTGGGTTAAATCCCATACCAGGACCAGGCTCAGGAAGGTCTTCACACCAGTGACAAACTGGTGAGGGCCTGAGCACCTGAACAGATCCCCTTTACATCACCCAGAGGAGCAAGTGGGGACAGTTTTGGACAAATTATCCTGTTTTCAGCTAAATATTCAACATCAGCCTCAGCTTTCCCAGGAGAATCACATTCCCTGGAAGCCCAGCTAAGCCCTGCTGGCCTCACACACCCTGAGTGATGGGAGTTGGGGATGTGGCAAAAGTCACACTCTCCTTTGGGTCTCTCCTCTCCCAGGAATGAAAATTTATTACAAGGAGCCTGAAAACCTGCAGATTAATCTCACTTTTTGCTTTTTTTAAGCCTAAAAAATGTTTGAAAAACTTTTTTTTCCCTCCCCTGTACCTCAGGGATGACAACAGACCTTTTCCAGAAGAAACAGCAGAGCAGCCACATCTTCCAGCCAGGAAAAGGTGGAAAATCCCACAGCACACGCTGCAAACCAGCCCTAGTGCAGCAAAACCCTTTGGTTGGGATCACAGACCTCCTAAATCTCCCCTGCAAGGTCTTCTGATCTCCTCACATTACTCTTCCAAGTCAAGGCAGTACCAAACCCATTTTCCAACACTGGTATGTTCTCACCTGGGTGCCTGGGTCACTTCTCCACAGCCAGGGGTTTTCCTGCAGCTCCAGTTCCATCCCCAGCTCAGCAAAAACACAAGAGGTGCAACATCACCTCCCAGTCCTGCTCCCACAGGATGAGCTGGAACACCGCTGGAAAGCTTCCCCACCCCAAAAGAGATGGGAACTGCAGCCCAAACTGGAAGGAAAGGCTGCCTGGTTACCAGGATAATTAGTTAGGAGGTATCTCCTGTGTGGCATTTCCCCCAGGAGAAGCAATTGAAAATGAGCCACAGCTGCCACAGCACTTCCCACCCTCCCCACTCCTCCTCAGGGCTGCTCCTCACCTCCATCCCAGGTGAAGCACAGCTGGCAAAGCCACCAATTTTTAGAGGTTTCAGTCAAAAAAGTACTGCAAAGATGCTGGAAAAAACCATAACATCAGGAAGCCTTTGAGCTCCCAAACTAAACCAGGTGGTAAAAGCAAAAGCAGCTGAACACAGGGTAGTGCTGCCTGTTCTCTGCCCTGAAATGTTCCTTCCCCAATATTCCAAACAAATAGGGAGGAACATGCTGCAACCTTCAGGCTGGGCTTGATATGCAGCACAGAAGTACAAACTGTACAGAAAAAAAAAAAAACAAACCCTGAAATGAAGAGAGTGGTGTTTTTTTTTTTAATTATTTTTTTTTTCCCCACAAATGCCCATTTCTGCAGGTAGGGCTGGGGTGGGACAGCTCTTCCGGGCAGGTTTAGCCACATCATGTGGGCTTCAAGCATGGCAAAAGCAACACTCAAGTCTTGTTAAATGAGGCTTAGAAATCTGCAGAGCTTAGACATTTCCAAGGAGCGAGACTGCTGGTATTTCCCTCTGGGTGACTGACTGACTCCTCTGCGTTTCAAGCTTATTAACAGATGGTAAAAGTCAGAAAAGCGATGACATTTCGTGGGTGAGACTGGAGAACAGAATGAAATGTTTGAACATTAGGAGTAATACTCTGCCCCCAAACCACTTCTAATAATGCCAACCGTGTGTTAAAAAGCAAAATACCAGCTAAAAATATATCGGTCCCATATTTTATCCTTAAACTTCTGCGGGCTGGGTGTCAGCAGAGGCCGGGGGTGTGCTGAGCTGGGATGTGCAACCCACACACCTGACGGTGGCAGCAGCATCTTTATTCTCCCTCCTGTGAAGCACATGATTGTGAGGCTTTTCCCTCTCCATTATGCTCTTGAGAAAAGTGTAAATCTCGTTATTCCAGCATGTGAGTAACAATAAAAGAAAACCCGGGACGCCCTTGATGCCTTGCTGAAAGGTGAATGCCAGTCAGCACAGCCCTGCTCGGTCCTGCATTCCCACTGAACATATCCAGGAGTTTTTGCAGGTGAAAAGTGCATTTAAAAAAATCCTGAAACCTTCCTGCTGAAGTGAAGCAGCAAAAAACTTGTGGCCAAAAAAAAGGTGCATGTTGAGTGGAATGCCCTCAAAATAGCACAGAAACCACACCAGGATGGGAAAGCAGGGGTTATTCTGTGTGTGAGAGATTTGCCTCACACATGACATCAAGGAGATCTTTCAGATTCCTGCTAAATACATGAAAGAAATAAATTGATTTTGCAATATCAGCCGCCATGGATTTGTCTGCTGGCTTTTAATGAGCCCTCAGTTTGAATGTTTCAGTTATCAGGTGGGTGTATCTGGGTGCATCCCATGCAGAACCTTCCTCCATGGACAGGCACATTAGAATTAAAGAAATCACATAACACGGAATATTGTGGGGAGGGGAGGGACAGGATGACAATTTGAATACTCTGTAACAACAGAACTAAGGTGTTTTGCTCCTTTCATATTTTCCTTGGCAGGTATTTTGCTCATCTCCCATTTCTCTGGTCAAACAAACCACAGTTGTTATGTTTCTGTTTAATAAATACATGCAGATTTCAGTCTTTAAGGAAAAACATCGTTTATAATGATAACATATAGATTTCAGACTTTAAGCACCACTGTAGTTTCCCCTAATTGAGGTATAGAAGGAAAAAAAATAATATTACTGGGTTCTCTGGGTATTTATATAATTTATTTACCATTATAAAATAATTAATATTATTTATATTTATAAAATTGCCTGTATTCTGGTGATCTTTAATGAAGAGGAGCAGAAATTCACCATGCTGATGCTTACAGGTGTGTTGTACCACGTGTAACTGGATCAGGTCCCCTCACCTCTGCTCACACCTGGTATGTTGACTTTTGTCCTCTCTTTCATGGCTAAGTGGATTTTAATCTGGATAACGTTATTTTTGTGGGTATTTCACACACCACTTAGCTTAGATCTCTGTGTGCTGGAAAACTGTGTGCTGTTAACAGAGTAGATAAAGCATACAGGAGATGCTGACAGTGTGTGGGGTGATAGGAGATTGATCCAGGAGATGATCAGACCATGCAATTAATGAGGCATTTGAATTCGGGGTGTTTGCAGGTCAGGCCCATCCTGCCTTGGTCCGTGATGTCCAACAGTCCCAGTGAAAGCAAAAAAAAAACCCCACCACCACAAGAGAGGGCTGTGGGTGACAAATAAAGCAAATTCCCAGCAAACCAATGCTCTCAGGTGAAAAAATCAAACAAACAAACAAACAAACAAAACATCAAAACCCAAACCAAAACAAAAGAGAAACTCGCTGATTACAACGAAGGCTTTTGAGGATTACATCAAGTCAAACTTTTATTAGCAAAGTCGTATTTCATGTAAAATGAAAATATCTTTTCGAACCATACGTGCACACCTGCGTGGTACAAACAGCAACTACGGTACAAACACGGTCCTCTAAACTTTAATCAATGCACACTAACATTTAGCTCCAAAAAAGTAACGTCCTGACGGCGACACCACATTTGCTTTGATCTTTTTTTTTTTCCCTCGTGAAATTACAAAGTATCTCGTTTAAAGAATAATAAGAACAATAACAATAATAATAATAATAATAAAAAACGGAAAGAGACAGTGTGCTTTGGCTCAAACCCACCCAGGGGTTCCTGCCTGAAAACAGAAATCAGTGCAGATCACTTGAGATTGGACAGGAGAGATCCGGAGCCGCAATGTAAACATGTCCTGGTGCTCCAACACAGCTTGCACATTTATATTTTGAACCCCTAAGCATTGACAGAGATGCCAGCTGAGGGCTTGATCCATTGGCAAACAAAGGAAATTCTCCAGGAAGGATTTCCTTTCTTTAGGTCTGTTTTTAAAGGCAAGTAAAATAATCTAATTACACCTCTCACTGTAAAAATGATCAGGAGGTTTCCTTTCAGAAGCTCGAGGATCAGTGAATGCTCTTCTAGCTTTTGTTTACAAAATGTGGAATTACTGTTTAAAAAAAAACAACACCTTTTTATAGAGAAACATTGTGCTAATGCTGGTTTTCATCTCAAAAACAAGATGGGCCTGAAAACTGTTATTAAAACCTCTCATGGACTGGATTGACCCACTCGGTCAATGGAATTACTTACCGGGGAAAAAGCTGCTCATTAAAATTTGTGTAACATGAACAAATATCAATCATTAAACGATATTCCAATTAGATCTGCTTAAGGTGTGAGTTACAAAGAAGGTTTTTTTTTTTTTATACATGAACAAACAATTTTATCCAGAGGGGGAAAGTCATTTTCAGATTTGATTCCTAATTCTGTTCTTCCAAAGATCCAGCCCCAGCAGGGCTTTGATACCAGTCCTGTAGTGTTTTCCTGCTGAACTGCAGAGAATGGAAGATTTCTGGAGATTGGATCCCCAAATTTTGCCAGAGAAGGAAGCTGGGGCCATTCCTATAAGTTCTTGATTGTGTAATTATATTATATATCTATATTATATAAATATTAATTAAAGAAAAATAGTTCTGGGATTACAGTCCATACCAAACCAACATTATGCTGCTCTGTGAATCCAAACAGTTCGCTTGGGAGAAAGGACTGAGAGTTGTGGGTCCTTTCCAGCTCAGGATGTTCAGTAAAGCTGGTGATTTTTATTGAGCTACATGGCCACACATCCTCTCAGCTGTAAAATTTAGAAAAAAAAAAAATGAAGCCCAGCTCCTTGCAATGACAAAAAACTCCTCAGGAAAATCTCGCCTGGCTCTGTTAATTTATTTATTTTTGAAAGCAACTCTCTGAAAAACCATCAGTGCCCTGCACTTCCCAGGGCACACTGGATGAGCTGTACCCTTCCAGCAGACAATAAAAGCCCAGTGAGGGGGAAAACCATGGAAATAAATGATTTGGAAGAGATAACAGCTCGGGTGAGGGAGATTTCCTGAGAGATTGGGCCCCTTGTTTAATATTCACGGGGCACGTTCCTCAAAAGTCCGTGGGCACTGCACAGGTTCCACCGCACATCTTTTCTTCACTGCTTGATTTTTAGGCCCTGGGGCATCGTGGAACACCAACATTAAGATTTAAGGATCTGAATTGAAATTTTAATAGGGAAAGGAGCCCTCCCAGCACAGATGAGCAGCACATCACAGGGATGTCATAAACACCTCTCAGCAGCAGCAGAGCAAGTGGGAGCACAGGGGACTCATGTTCATTATTCCATCAGTTTGACACTCACCAATACAATCTGAAGTTTGTGTCTGTTTGACAGAGGTATTTGCTGGGATGAGAAGTCTGGTTTATCTGCAGTGACCCCAAGAACAAGGAGATGGATGAGCAAACACAGCCCTTCCCCAGCCCAGAGCGGTCAGGAAGGATTTAGGGGAGCCCAGCCCAATTTTATTCCCTAATTTTGTTCCTATTTTGAAGACCCTTGATCAGTGCAGATCATTCCTAAAGGAAATATATTAAAAACAGCCCAAAGCTTGCAGCAAAGATTGTCACAAGCCTAATCAGTTCTTAGATTTTATCTGGTTTGGGCTGCAGCAGACACGAGTCAGCAGATAAAGATGCTGCTGGGAAATGTCTCTGTTGCTGAGATGCCAATTTTCACATCTCTACAATTGTGTACTCCCTCCTTTTGAAAAGGAAGATTTGTTGTTTGGGTTTTTTACCAAAATGAAAAGCACTTTGGAATTTTCCCTGTTTGGATTGAGTGAAATACAGCAAATAAAACTTCATGGGTTATAAAAAGCAAATTACTTGGGTCACTGATACAGTGTGGGGTGATTTTTGATCAGGGCAGGTTTCCACTCATCATTTTATACTCATACACACATCCTGAATGGGGCTTTGGGGCTGGCTGTTTGGGGGTTGTTTTTCCCAAACAGAGGTTACATGACAGGCTAAAATTAAACAAAACAAAAAAAAAAGAGGCACAGATATACAGAAGCACCAAGCACCAAAGGCTTCCAGAAATTACCAAGCTCTGAGGAGCAGCCCCAGCCTAAGGGGAGCTGGGTGTGATCCACAGCCTTCCCACTGGGAACAACCTGCATTTCTGTGGGCAACTAACTGGGCTTGAATGTAGCCCTCACTGGAAACTCAGAACCACGTGAGGAATTCTTGCTTCCTCTCTTTCTCCCACTGAAATCATGGAGCCCAGGAAGGAGCCATTGGGGAGATTTGCCTGATTAGCATCACAATGCAAAATAGCTTTTAGGATCTATTCCTCCTGCAGTCGCTGTTTAAAAACACTCTAATGGGAGTGACAGTCGTTTGTAAGTGCGAGAAGAAATGAAGCCACATCGATACCCTACTCAAATCAGCAGATTCAAAAGTACAAATGCTATTAAAGAGATTCAGGAGATTTCAGTACAAAAAGACCAAGAAAATGTGCTGTACAGCTTTGCTGGGTTAGTGTCGGAGAGGCAAAGGAAGGAATTTAAACCAGCATTCGGTCAACAAAATATAACAGAAAATCTACCATAATATTTTCTCTTTGCTTTTTGCTTTTGTTTATTTAACAGTGAATAGCTTGAAAATAAATGATCTCTTGAAAGTCAGGTAGCTCTAGTTTAGGTGATACTGGAAAGGTGTGAGAGTGGGATGACTGGAATACACAAAACTCCTTCTGAAAACTAGTTTATGCTGGTCCAAACTCATATTGAGAAGCAATTCTATTCATTCCTACACAGCTATACAGACCCATGCTAGCAACATGTCTCATTTAAAATAAAACCAGGCTGATCTTTACTTGTGTCAATATTAATATCATATGTACAACGTCTCCAGGAAATGTTTGCTAGCTCACAAATATACAGATATGAGACAGACAACAAGTATTTTGCTTAGAAATGCAGCTTGCAGAGACTGGGGAAAACAAATTAAAACACTTTTGAGTGATGGGATGGGAACCCTGTTTTGCCTTGCCACAGGAAAGATGCTGCAGCTTAACTTATTTAAGGAAATAGTGCCAGCTACTGGGCAGCAGCTTCATCCACACTTTGCCGTGGATAAAGCTGCGTTTCTGAGTATTGGTAACTGAAGTCAGCTGTAACCACTAAAATAATTTTTAGAGTATCATTCACAAAGGAGTTTAACTCTTTAGGAAAAATTGTACAATATATAGAATATATTTCTCTGGTATTTTAAATTAGCATTTTTCTCAGTAGGATCATTGTGCCACTTTGCAGAGTATCCTGTTATTTTTATTTGCTTTTCTTGGGTTATAATTCCTAGTTTATAACCAAGGCCACGATACATGTGGGAATTCTACACAGAAATGTATGTACCAAGTGACAATGACCATACAGGAAAACATATCTGTACAGAGAAACATATTCCAAACCTAGGAAACACATGGAGTAGCATTTAAGGATACAGATGTAACACCGAGATATTCTGGGTTGGTAAGAGTAACACATTTTGTATAGCAAATAATTCTTTGTTTTTGTTTCATTTAGAAGAAAACAGGTGGAAATTAAGATGGAAAATCATCTTTTAGTGGCAGTGACTCGTTTTTTTTGTGTTACCTGGGTGTCAGGTTGGTCCTGACCGGCTCAATTGGCAACCTGTGGAGTGCTGATCAAGATAAATATCACAATTAAACACCAATCATTCCTGCCAATATTTCAGGCGTGGAGAGGAAAAGTTGCTGTAGAACTCCCAGTGCTTTCCACTGATCCTTTTTCCTTAGATCCAGAATAAGCTCCAATAAATGAACCATCTTCATTGAACATCCCATGCTCCCCTTCTCCATAATCTACCAGACTATCAGCACTTTCAGTGGCTTTAATGTCCCCGTTAAGTGACTGGAGGCTGCCTTTCAGCGGCTTTTCATCGCTGTCACTACAAAATAAAGAGATGCCTTTCCAAAAATCCTGCTTTTCATGGCAAAAAAACCCAAACAAACCAAAAAAACCCCAAAAAACCCTATTCTTTTTATTGGGATAGAAAAGCAGCAGGAGGGAAGAGTGAGGGAGAAATGTCTATGATGTGGGTGGTTATGTGGATGATCTGACCCCGTGAGTCCTGCTCTGGTGCTGCTCACACAGGGGGGTTCCACCAACCTGAACTGCCCCACACAGGGTTTCATCATTAATCAACAAATTAATTGGTTAAAAGGGCAAATATTAATGAAAACTACCCACATGTTTAGGGTTTTTTTGCCCCTTTGGCCTTGGGCAGGCAGAAGAATGGACAGAAAGGGAAGGAGAAAGAAAAGGAAACGTTTGAAAGGATTTGAGGGGTCTGTTCCAGGAATCAGGGCTGATTATTTTCAGTTTACAAAATAGTGGGCAATATTCAAGGCCTAATTATTTCATTTTTCTTTAGAGGTGGGTGGGTGAACTGATGAGGCATCAGCTGGAGGTTTTATCTCACTGTCTTGGCAGCATCTGTTTGAGTTTAGGTACTAATAAAGGTGCTTGCCCCCTTTTTTCTGCTGTTATTTTATCTTAGCTGGGGGACTTTTTTTCTGCTAAAGAGGAAGAAACAAGGAAAAACAAAAGCAGGATCAGTGTCTGGTTCTGCTCACAAGCAGTCTATGGTCAATGAAAATTCCATGAAAAAGAAAGACCCACCATCAAAATCCAGGGAAAAAAGGGGAATTCCACTGACCATTCCTCCTCAGAACCAGACCAGCCTGATTTCTCCTGACTGAACACAACATTTGGAGGGACTGGGAATGTAGATTGAAAGATTACATAAAAAACTCAATTAGGCCTCTGAATTAGGTGCATAATTACTCTGTTACAGCCCTTGCTGATGCCAACTCAGTGTCAAAGTTTGGGCAACGTTATCCAAGGAAGGGTGGAGAAATTAATCTGAACTTCACTTCTTCAGGATAGACTCAAAATGTGTGTAACCAACACATAAAACTATTTGCTGCTTTTCTGCACGTGATATTTCTACTTATATATATATAAAAAAAAAAAGGCAAGTTTGGATTTCAGGGGGAAAGGAGGGGGGGTCAGAGTTATTAACCTCAGGACTTTCTTACCTTTCTAAATATTTGTCCCATTAGAAAGCATTAAAAATTAAATAAAGATGAAATTATGCAGAAAAAAAAAAAGGCCCCTGTTCCAGTACAAATAATGTAGTATATAGAAGTGGGATTTCAACAGCAATTCTATGGCCTTAAGGCCAGAGACATCACTTTTTTCCAGCATGGTTCTTATAAGGATGCATTTTCCTTCACACCACGATTACATATTACTCTAAGTTTGAGGGTTTTTTAAAGCAGCCAAAGTGGTTATTTCAATTCTGCTACAGAGACTTCTGTAGGTTTGTTTGGGTTTTTGATATTTTTTACCATATTTCGAACTTTTCCTTGTTTTCTTCCACAAAATGAGCATTCCCCATATTACAGGTTTGGGTCTGACTGGGATTGAAACCCACTGAAGACACAGAATTAATTCTATGGCTTCAATGGGCAGCAGGAACCCAAATACAGAAGAAACCCAAATTATCATATATATTTACATTATTCATACAATGTTAGTTTAAAAAAAAAAAAAGTGAAAAATAACCACCAATTCATCAACATTTCCTTATATCCCAGCTTGGATGGACTGAAGTATCATGGATATACCTTTATATTCCTACTCTTATCCACTCCTATGAAGTTTGCTTTGAAAATTAAAAAAAAAAACAGCATTAATTGCATGCTAGAAAAATGTCCCAAATAATGATGGCATTTGGAAAACAAACAAAACCCCCACAAACACAAATGCTTGGGAAAGCAGGTCCTATTTACCTATATTCCCCAAAGATTTCATCTTTTATTGATTGAGCTTCGGGATCTGGATGCAAATCTTCTTTTTCTTTCACTGTGCAAATAAAATAAAGGACAGATCTGTGTGTCGTGTTCCCACGTGGACTTTTTTGTTTTCCCAGATGAATTGGGAAAACCTCCTGTCATCACCCACAGCCTGACCTGGAGCTGGCTGGACACACAAGAGTTTGGGGCTATTCCCTAATTTTTTAAAAGCTGGCAAGTGTTTTTAGGATCCTGGAATGGTTTGGGTTGGAAGGGACCTTAAAGCTCATCCAGTGCCACCTTCCACCAGCCCAGTTTGCTCCAAGCCCTGTCCAACCTGGCATTGAATGTTTCCAGGGCTGGAGAATCTACCACCTCTCTGGGCAACCAGATTTTCACTTCAATACTTAGAATTAAGTCCTTACTCATTGCTTTAAAAATTACGGCGTTACTTTTAACAAAATATTCTCTTTTTAACAAAATATTCTCTTTTACTAAGTTTGGCTTCCTGTGGAAGTTCTGTCAGTGTGTCAAGCAGCTCTTCTCAGGTGGGAAGTGAGCAGGGAGCCCTGACAACAAAGAACTTTGGCTGGATTAAATGCTGGAAGATTCAAGGAAGATTCAATCAAAGGCCTTGGCCAGCTCTCTGGCCAGCACACAGCACTGTCTCACCCAGAGAGCACAGTTTCACTTGTATTCATTAAAATCTGTTCTGTGGATATTTATCAAAAGCTACAAATCCTAATTGGATGTTTGTGCTGGAGGCTCTGCTGCCCCCAGAGAGAAAAGGCTGAAGGATGGTTGTTATTAACATGTGAAAACAGCAAAAAGGACAATAAATCCGTTTACCTGAATATTTTCCTCCTTTATTTCTCCTGACAAAGCAAATGGTGAGCAGCAGCAGGGTGAGCAGAGCTATGGCACACATCAGTCCAATGAACCAGCCCTGGGTGGAAATCCCATCATAAATTCCAGCATAGGCTTGGGGAAATGGAAGAGGAGCAAAAAAGGAAGAAAATTAATCCAAGGAAAGGGGCATCACCCTGTGATAACATGAATACATCACATGCTCTGTGCTGGATCCTAATTGAACCAGTCTATCACTACTGATGGTGTTCTACTTAAGTGCAAGGCAGAAACACATCCAGAGCGTGGCATTTTTGGATTTAAGGGGAACACAGAGTGTACAAGGCACAGCACAGACATTTCAGAAAGGTGGTTCTGAGAGAGCAGTTGACTCACAGGATTAACACCACACAGCAAAGCTGAGCAGAGAGTTGTTAAGCCTCTCATGCAAAAGCAGTTTTGCAAAGGAGAGAGAGTTAAAAGTGCCCCCAGTACATGCAAATCACCAGACTGGCCACTTCAGATGGATTATATCACAGCACTACCCCTTCCACTTCACACAGGAGGGAAAGCTGCTTTGCAAAGGTCTGGGATCGCTCCAGTGCATCAAGTAATGCCCAGGAATCAGCAGAGAACCTCAGATGTGTTTGTGCTCCCGTGGGATTCAACTGCAAGGGCCAACTTACGAATCACGGATGAAAATGACGATTTTGGAACACTTTCACTGCACAAACATCAGATGGAACCTCAACACCGAGTCACGGTCAGAATGTTTATCACCTGGAAGGGTTTCATGGCTCACCTCTCCCCCTTGTCTCAATTACATCTTCAAAAATGCTATTGTTATCAACCCAGTTCTTAGTCACTAGACGAACTGTGTACTCAGTGCCAGGCTCAAGGGCCTCAACGGGGTGAAACTTTTGGGTGGGTTTTACTGCGTCTGAAATCCTGCCGGCCCCTTTACCTATGGAATGCACATGGATTAGTGGGGTTCATCCAGCAGAAGGCCTGTGAAATGCACACTCACAAACAAGGCAAAGAACACACAGATAGGAGTCACACACCAGGATTTTTGAAGTTCGTCATCAGGCGATTTGATTTCTCCAAGAAAACAAAACTAAACGTTCCCCCCTTGTTTGATTTTTTAATATTCCATCAGATGAAATAAACGGCTGGGTGAAGTAATCCTGATGTTTGTGGAGGGGTTGGTGCATCTCCCAGGATGAAAGTTAATATTGATGGGGGATTATGGATCTGCTTTAACTAATGCACGCTTAAAAAATTACAGCTTGCAAACGGGCTCGCTGTGTAAAGATAATCTGGGGTTTGATGCTTCTCCCATTGAACTGAGCTCAGCAGGGAAGCACAGACAGCTTGTTATCTGGATATGGATTCTTATATGTCTCACAGAAAGAAATAACGTCGGGATTTGTACTCATTTCTCTCCTGACAGTAGTTTTCCATGTCCTTTTAAACTCCGCAATGCCTCGTTTCGACATAGCTGGAGTTGGCTTTTAAATTGGTATTTAGGCATTTAAATGTTCCTGATGAGTTTAATAGATGATTAAGAGATGAGAAATCAACCAAGGGGTGCAACATGGCAGTGTCTCTGTCCTCGATGGCAGGAGAGAGACTGGGGGGCTGCACTTGATAAAAGTAACTCTTTAACTTTTCTCAGTTGCCCAGTTTGCCTGTTTTATCCAGAGTGGTCACACAGTATAATTTGAAATCTACTCTGCCAATTATCAGTGACAGTAAAACAATGCTCATTAATACTTCAACTAGTGAACAAGCAAAGCAAGAAGCTGCTGGAGATTAGGGCTGAGTTGACAGCTGAAGGGAGAAAAAACCAAAAAGATTAAGACAAATCCAAGCACAGTCAAAGCAGCAGTTCAAGATAAGTTTTCCAAGGCAACTCTACAGGTATTACAATAAGCAGTTTAATTAGTAGCCCACTGGGACCCAGAGAGAACACATCCAGCTGAAATACTGCTGATACTGAAGCACAGCTCATTAGCATAAATTAATCCATCTATCGGTAATTTTTTGCTAAATGAAGTATGTGAAACCCAGCTATAATTTTTAATCAAACTGCAAATTAAGCAACAGGATACCACAGGTATATTTTTAATTACATGCTCTAAAATCGAGGCATCAGAAAAATGTATTTAATGGAAATATTACCCACAAAGTAACAAGAATGAACATGAACCTTCAACCCAATGTCTATTAAATACCATAAAACACTTGTGCCAACCTCTTCTTTCTGAATGATCAGCTCTCTGTAGAAACAGAAATGGGAGCTGATATGGCTGGAAAACACCCCTCTCTCTGCCCTGGCACGTGGAGCAGCACAGGGCTGGGATGAACATTCTGGGATGAGGTTGGAGCCCAACCTGAGCTGGGACTGGGGATTTGCCAATGGATCTCCAGCCCGTTTACCATCACCTGTCCCAAAACACTGATTTTTCCCTTAAAACTCAGAACAGGTGTCCAGTGACGAGGGATTGTGAGGTTTCTTTCCATGCCATTTCTTGTGTTCTGTGTTACACACTCAGTACAGGACCTACAGAGGGGAAAGCTTGGCTAATTGGGGCAGGTTTGGGGGTTGGAATAGGAAAAGCAGTGTGGGATCCTGAAAAATAAAAGCAAAGATACACAGGTATGGAAAAGCTCCACATCCTGAAAGGCCAGAGAGTGGTAGGAATTTGCTTCAGAAAATTGAAAGCGGTTGGGTGAGGATTTTAATCTCCAATAAGGGAGAAGGAGCATTAGTAATAAAGGCATATCACCAGCACTTTTCATCTTCCCCCACTATTTATCAGCTATACCATGGGACTTGCATGAACATTAAACACTGAACTGCAATTTTACAATATTCCTGCTGGGCTCCAAGATTTATGAGAACAACACAACACACATTTTTTATAGAAGCTTATGGTATAAAGGGAAAAACAACAGAAACCACCCCCAAAGACTTCCAAGAGTGCCAGTTCTCCAAAAGTTAGCACATCTGTTATAAAACAGGCTTAGATAAAAAAAGCTGGCAGTCTAATGGCTAAATACTAATTGTGGGCAGCATATTCATTTATAACCATACCTGTCTGAATACATCTGGAAAGTTGAACTTTCATTAATTTTCCCCTGCTGTCTGGCTGTTAAAAGTGTATAAATATGCATCCCAAGCATCACTCATCTCCTGGGGTTTTTTAGTACAGGAAGCAATTCATGCTAAATTGGGATTATTTTAAAACTGTAGAGATGAGTGAGCCTATTTTCACCCAGATTTCACTGGGTTCTCTTGATTGTGAGCATTGTTACAAATAGTTACTCTGGTCATGAAGGAAAATAGTAACCTCTGGCTAAGATTTTCAAAAAAAACCTTTAGAAGTTATGTGCCCATTGCCATTGAAATATAATAAAACTGGTCAAACTCTATTTCTTGGCTCCTCTGGAAAATAAAGCTATGATTGGAAGGCTTCCTCTGCCTGAATTTTCCATTAATGTTTGAATTTCTGGACACACAGTGATAATTCTCAACGTGTAATCCTTGTTCAGTAATCCTTGAAAAACACTGGTAACAAGATGAAAAGCAGCTTTGATATATTAAATTATTTCCCTTCACTCATGGAAGCACATTATTTTGTGTGATGTTTCTGAGGGCCGATGTTCCTTGGGAAATGGGCATTTTCAAGGATAAATTAATTAGTTTGTAGGTCATTTGAGAAATAATGTCTGTAAGTGTAAAGATGGAGAGAAATCTCATTTTCTTAAAACACCACACTTCCTCCTGAGGAATGAAACTAAGATGAAGCCACAAAAATTAAACTGTTCTTCATTTTGCAGTACAAAGCAAGTATTCTTTTGCCCAGAGTCTTCATGATTGCCCACTGTATTTTATCAACAGATGATAAAGATCTTGGGTTGCCTATCAGGGTTTCATAACTGAGTTATTTTGGTCATGTTTAGGATCTGTCATAGGAAAAAGGCCTTTTATAAAGAAACAGAGATGTGAGCATGGGATAATCCTGAAGTACTTCTCCTACCTAAATGATTCTCTGCCTCTACCCATTTATCTGTACAGAGAATTATATTTATTTAATTGATGTAAACTTTTTTTACTAAATTCAGCCATTCCTGCCACTGCAAACTCATCACTGGGAAATGATTTCCACATAAATTACAGGCTGGAAAAATTATAATGTAGAGCAAAACAATTTTCCCTGCACAGCCTTGTTTTCAGTGGGGCTACATTCATGCTCATATATGTACATATTTTAAAAGAGATGGATTTTTATTTCTGAATCCAGACTACAATAACAGAAGTAACTCCAAATAAATGAAATCAATATCAGATGAAGCATATCAGTGATAAAATGTGAATGAATGCAGAGCTTCCTCCTCAACATCTGCACCTCCCTAGCAGAATGTATTGTGAAATTCTGAAATACCCCTGGTAAAGGCTGTATTACAGCAGGGGAAGTTATTCAAAGCCTTAAAATGAACAAGGAGAGCTTTATGGTTTTATTATTAAACTGGAACACAGTGGATATAGAATCCCTGAATCAAGCCCCAAAGTGCTCTATCACAGAGTTTCATTTCAGAGGGCACCACATTTTATATCTGTCATTTATGTGGGTCATTTTGAATGATAAACTTTGACTTCTGAAATCACTCCCTTTCTTCAAAAAGAGAGATTGTTTTAATTTTGAGCAATTGCCTCCCTTCCCACACCACAGCTTAAAACCCCAAGAAGGTCACTGAAAAGAGTGATTATTTTTTTTTCCCAGCCTATCATGTTCAGTTGAAAAATATCTGAACAATTTAGCCAGCAAATAATGACACAGAACTCTATTGGCATCTCAGTCACAGATGCAGTGCCCTAATTTAGGGGGGCTTGAGAACCAGCCAGGAGCACATAAATCACAGAACTGGACCCTTGCAGCTTTTATTAATTATCCCACTCTATTCCAAGAGCAACAACAATCAGTTGTTGCCACTGCTGGAAAAAAGTCTGAGGAAAGAAGAGAATGAGAATAAAGAAATGGCAACATTCTCATCCCATAGACTGGGATGCACCTCATAAACCCTGACAAGGTTGTTCCAAGAAGTTGTAGACTCTCCAGTAGCCAAAATACCTTATTCTAGTTGCTCAATGGAGGCCAGAAAAGGTAACTAATGAAGGGAAATGGGGCATTTTTAGCTGGGGGAAAAAAATATTTTCATTTCCTTAAAGAAGAATAAATTTTAAATCATGGTGATTAATAGCTATTACTATTAATAGACTAGTAGGTAGAATAATAGTTTCTACTAGTATACCACAGTGAGACTGTAGGCACAAAGGCAGTTGAGAAGGAGTTTTACTACTTGAGAGAGCACACTTCACATCACAACTGGATCCTGAACTGGGATGTGATGAGTTTAAACTACTTTTCAAATGTTTTGCCAATAACTGAAAAGAATTCTGCAACTTAGAAGTCCAACAAGGGTGTCGTGCAATGAGGGCCATTTTTCTATTTTATACCACCATTGCTCTGTGATCTTTGCTGAAAATGATGAAGCCAGGGACTCTTTTGCTTATCACATTATCCTTCTCCTTACCCATGGTAATGTTAATCAGAAACCAGCAATGGTTTCTGATTAACAGCAGGGACCTGCTCCTCGGTGTTGTGGAGCTCTCAGACTTGCTGAGCACAAACGTTTTATTTCATTTCAGCTGCATGTGAAAGATGAGCTCTCACACAGTGCTTGCCATTCTCCTTTAAATCACTAAACATCAGTGTTTCAGGACAGGCTGTAAGTGGCACACAAATGTTCACTCCCAGGCCCTGGTAAAATAATCATAAATAGTGGATCAAATACACTGCAGTCAGCTCCATGTTCATCTGGATTTTCCATGTCAAGCAGCTGACCCTAATGCTGCTGGGAGTCACCCATCTTCGTGCAAGGGCAGAATTTGTTTTTGTACTATTAGAGAGAACAGATTATCTGCATCTTCAATTTCCAGCTCGTGACTAAATGCAATTCACTCATTCTAGTAAGGCTTAAAGACTTGATTGGTGGGAACAGAAACAGGACTGTACAGCAAAATGGAACAGATGAGCTCTGCTTTTCTGAAGAGCTGCGTGACTGCACTGTGAAGTTCATCGATTGTTCTCACGGAAAGAAAAACAAATTTATTTCCTTCCAATTACAAAGGAAATGTCAAGCCTGGAATATTCTCCATAGATTTTCCCATTACTGATGGAGCCTCTCCCCATAAAAACATATTGCCTGTGAACTTACTCCCTTGGGCCATGGTGAGTCCCTCCTCAGTGATGGGCTTCCCACAGCCCTTGGCCGTGCAGGCCTTCACGTAGAACTTGTACTTGGTGCTGGGGCTGAGCCCCGAGAGCCTCCAGCTGAGCGTGGAGAGGTTTGTGAGGCTGACGTCGCTCACGGGGCCCACCTCGTGCGTCTCGTTGACTGCAAGGGAAGAGGAGCTGGGTCAGAGCTTCAGAATCACGGAATGAGCCAGGCTGGAAAAGGCCTCTGGGATCAGCCTGTGACCCAACCCCACCCTGTCACCCAGCCCATGGCACTGATGACACATCCAGTCTGTTCCTAAACACCTCCAGGGATGGAGACTCCACCCCTCCCTGGGCAGCCCCTTCCAGTGTCTGAGCACTCTCTGTAAAGAATTTCTTCCCAATGTCCAACCTAAACCTCCCCTGGTGCAGCTCAAGGTTGTGCTCCCTTGTCCAGCTGCTGGTTCCTGGGAGAAGAGCCTGAACCCCACCTGGCTACACCCTCCTGTCAGGGGGTTGTAGAGAGTGATGAGGTCTCCCCTGAGCCTCCTCCTCTCCAGGCTCAACAACCCCAGCTCCCTCAGCTGCTCCTCACAGCACTTGTGCTGTATCACAGGATATGCTGAGTTGGAAGGGACTCACAAGGATCATCCAGTCCAACCCTCAGCCCTGCACAGGCCCATCCCCAAGAGTCCCCCCTGTGCCCCAGAGGATCATCCAAACCCTCCTGCAGCTCTGGCAGCCTTGGGGCTGTGCCCACTGCCCTGGGGAGCCTGTTCAGTGCCAACCACCCTCTGGGGGAAGAACCTTTGCTGAGATCCACCCTGAGCCTGCCCTGACACAGCTCCAGCCATTCCCTGGGGGCTGTCCCTGGTCCCCCCAGAGCAGAGCTCAGTCCTGCCCCTCCTCTGCCCCTGCCCAGGCAGTTGGAACTGCAGGGAGGTCTCCCCTCAGTCTCCTCCTCTCCAGCTGAACACACCAAGTGCCCTCAGTGCCCTCACATGGCTTCAAATCCAGGCCCTTCCCCATCTTTCTTGCCCTCTATTGGACACTCTCCAATGGCTTCATATCTTTCTTATGTTGTGGTGCCCAAAACTGCCACAATGTTCCAGATGGGGCTGCCCCAGTGCAGAGCTGAGTGGGACAATCCCCTCCCTCAACCATTTCTGTGCCTGTTTCCAGCATGAAATGTGCCATGAACACTCCTGTGAGGGAGGCACTGCAGTGAGTGGGAAGGATAAATCCTGAATAAGCATCTCACCTTCCTGCCAGGACTTAAATGGGATTTATATCCTCCATGTCAATCTCTCAGCTACTCACTGAGCTATTACTGTTCTTAAAAAGCTCTCTGATTCCAGATATGCACATCCTGAGTGGGAGGGAAAAATTACTGTCTCCTGGATCATTAAATATATATGAATTGCTTCTTGCTTTGCTTCCAAACAGCTGCAAACTTTTACAAGCGAGTTAGAGGGTGGTTGTTCTGCTGTGCTCTGCTCTGCCTCGGCTCACAGGGCAGCTGGAGGAGGGGCTGTGAGAAGACTGAGAGAAGGTCTTGTAAATACACATAAATATCTGCAGGGAGGTGCCAGGAGGAGGGACCAGGCTCTGCTCAGTGGTACAAAGCAATAGGGCAAGAGGCAATGGTCAGAAAGTGATGCCCAGGATGTTCCACCTGGTCATGAGGAAGAACGAGCAGAGATTAATGAAAAGTACGTGGGGTTTTACTTTTTTTACAAATAGAGCTCAGTCTAATCCTCAAATGACATATAAAATACCCAGAACCATCACCACACTACACAGCTGGTGTTATGGGACCAACACTGGGTCTTGCCTGGGGTTGTCTGGTCTGTTTCTCAGTTCTTTCAAAGGCAAGAAAGAAAGAAATACCCGTGAAATTAGGTTATTTCTCAGTGATTACTCAATACATGACAGGTGGTTTGCCTGTGTTTCTGCTGAAGCACCTTATGGGGGGAGAAGCTCACTGCCACCACGTGCAGATCTGTATAAATGTGGCTTTATAACTGCTCCCATTACAATTTATTTTGCACTGAATGAGTTTCACTTGAGTAAAATGCAACTACAATTTATGGGTCTTATTAACTGCTACATTAAGTATGATTTGCAAATATGAAATAATTGAATTAGCCTATCAGTGTGGGATATGGCAGGGCAATAATGTGAGCTTACATGGGAAAAGTGCTCGGAAAACTTTTAGCTCTGGAAGCTGACTTCAGCCTGCCCTCTAGCAGCCTGTGTGCACATCACACCTGTGGTTTTGATTTAACTACTGCAATTCTAAACTCCAAGCAAACCAAGCACGTACTTATCTGGTATTGCAAGATGTAGCCAGTAAGGTGGCCGTTGGCTTTCTTGGGAAGTCCCCAGGACAGAGTGACAGAGTCCTTGTCAAAGTTCAGGATCCTCAGAAAACGTGGCTGTTCAGGGACTGGAAGACACAGGGATTAGCTCTCAGAGAGGATTGAACACGCCTGTCCTACACATGCTTGTTAAATACAGTTTAGCTCAACACCTACAGCTCCCCTTTCTAGTGAAGGGGTTTATGAATACTGGAGACTTTACAATCACTTTGAACAAGCAAATCAACTCATCTTGTTACAAGGGCAATTTCAACTTAGGTCCCTCCATCCCATGTTCCCATTTTGTCTTACCTCCTTCTGGAGTTTTAAACACCACGGGGGAGCTCTCGGGGCCATCCCCCCTGGAGTTGTAAGCCAGGACAGTTAAGTGGAATTCACTGAAGGGATCCAGGCCAGGAATCATCCCATAGTTCCTGTCTCCTACAAACGTTAGGAAGTGTTTCTCTGGGTGGTGCCTCTTTCCATCCAGTATGCTTTTTGTTTTCCACCAGCTGACCTGCATGGAGATTGGCATTTCTATAAGAAATCATGTAAGGGGCTGAACATGAGAATGATTTCCCTGACCTTCCCAAAAATGAGAGGTTGCAAGTTATCCTTGATCTGGGATTTCTTTAGTAGTTTATTCAACCATATAGAAATATTTAAAGAGAAATTTTTAACCTTATAGCCTCTTAAATGTCCACGAACTCTGTCCCTTGGTATTCCAAACCAGTAGACTTTGACCAGTGTGCTGTTCACAACATCCACCGACACGCCCAAAGGAGCAGCATCTGGGACTGTAAGAACAAAAGTACCAGGTATTAAAGACACTTCCAAGAGCCCAGATTCCCACTGTTCACAGCTCCAGGGCTTGGCTTTCCAGCTCAAACCGTGGCAGCTCATGCAGTCTCACTGCAGGCAAGAAAACAGCCATTGCACCTGCATCCAATGGGTGAAATGGGCCAATAAACATGATTTTTTTTTTCCATATCAGGGTTTTCTGCTGAGGGTTGGAATACAGGTGCACTGGGACATATGAATTTCTACACCAGTATTTATGATTTCCTGTTTCAAGCAATGCTCACAGCAGTGAGAAGAATAAAAAAATGATTAACACAGTACTCAAGAAGGCAATCATAAAGTTTTTTTTTATAATCAATTTCATTTTACAACTAAGCTCATTAAACAGTTGGATTTTAATCACTGAGCAACACAGAGAGTTATAACAGTGCCTGGAAAAAAAAAGAGGCCTTGATCCACTAACAACTGAATTGCAAGGAATATTTTCCAGAGATAGATATAAAATAAGACTCATCACAGACAGACAAGGAAAATAAACATGCTGTGGAGTTTCTTTCCCCCTGTCTCACTATTCAAATACACTCTGAGGGGAGAAAAGATGAACAACCAAACCTTATTCCCACCTCTAGGTGTGCAGTGGGAATTCTCACTGTCTGAACAGCACCAAGCCCATTTCCAGCATTAGAACCTTGTGCTGGTGAAACACAGAGGGGCTTTGCCACCTGGGAGTCAAGGAAACCACTGGACAGAAGCCCAGCCTGGAGAAGATGGCACATTCTTCAAGGACTCAATGGACAAGGCAACACTCAGCATCACCTATAAATTCACTTACAACATGCAGTGCCTGAGAGTTTGTACCCAGTTAGCAGAGTAATTAACTTCTGACAGAATTACAATGGGTGAGTTGGGCCTCACAGAACCTACAGACTTTTTTTTCCCACCAAGCACAGCACGACTGCTACACTTCATAGGCTTCTTATGGACTGTGGCCTCCAAACAAGCACCCAGGTTAAGGCAGCAACTGAGATTAATGAAAGCACAAATGATCTCTCCAAAAACCCTCACAGTCCAGCAAACCGCATCCAGCATTGGTGGTATCCCTGTCTCCTGAAGCCCTCTGTGCTGGCCACTGGCATTTCAGCAGTCTTGCCTGGGAGCTGCCTAACCCCTCACTCCATATCTGATGGTTTTGCATCCCAGGAATCCCCCCCTGCAGCGTGTTTGGACGCTAAAGTCTCCCCTACTCACAGTCCTCTCCCGAATATCCGATGGTAACGTTTGGTTCGGGGCCGGATCCTAAATCATTGACTGCCTGGACTTTGATCTCGTAAGGCACGAAGGTGGGAGTGTTTCTCACAGTCAGGGAATGTTTCTTCACCGTCTCCTCGTTCCAGTCCGTCCTGACCCCCCGCTGCCTCCAGCTCACTTTGTACTCCAGCCCTGGCCCGTTCCTCTCCACAGGTTTCAATGGCTGTGGGAGAAGTTAAAAGAGATCTTGTCTGCCTTTGTTGCAGCAATCATGAAACAGCAGCTGAGGGGAGGGGGGGAATAATTTTGGGGAGTGTGTTACACGTCGGAAGAGGAAAAGGAGGAAAAATAAAGCTTGAACTTTTCGCTGTCACGTCAATTTTAAGATGACTGGGAGAACGATGTCACCGCTCCAAGAGAAGTCGTGGCATTGACGTGGGGGAAAGGCAGAGAAACAGCTGGATTAAAACCAGATTAATTGTTAGTAGACACATTTCTGCATCCTACATGCATCAGGTTTTGTTTTGCCACAGGTTTCCTTGTGTGAGGTGAAAGCACATGCCCTCAGCACAACTAAATTGCGTGTTTTGGCACACGGCTCTGTGTGTGCCTCTTAGCAAAGATAAAATTTGCATTTTATCTTAGAATTTTATGTAGCGCAGCAAGTCGGGTCATTAAAATTTAGATTTGTTCTAACTACACACCAAATGCTTGAAACTGTGCCTGGACACTTAATGTGCAACTGCTGGGCTACTCTGTTTGCACCCATCAGCTGAAGAATTCATCCCAGCATGGTTCCCTTCTAATTAACATTCATTTTTAAAATATTAGGGTATGTAAAGCAATGGCTTGTCATGAGACATTCTCCAGTTGGGTTTATTTCTCTAAAAATGTCCTACTTTAATAAATAAAGTTAAATAGTCACCTGCCCCTCCAAACATGCTGAGGGTTAGTTCATTAAAACAGCTGTGGGTGTTTCCCGTTGTACAGACTACTTTTAATTATATTTAAATTATATGTTGTAAATATTAAATATTCAATAGTTGGTCTATGTAGATAGACAATAATTAGTATGCACACAGAGATCTGAAATGAAATGGCATCAATTAGCAGCAGAAAGTGATGCCCCATTGATGCTCCTTATCCACCCAATCTGGGGGATCTGCAAAAATTCCCACTGCTCTGCTCTGAGGGCACGAGGACCTTTGGGATGACTGTTGTAAATGAGTTGGTAGATTGGGCAGCTTTCTAATGGGCACCACTGTGAGATTCACCTCCATGGCAAAGATCTCAGGGAGTGGGATTTGCAAGAGGAGCTGAAGAAGTGAAAAATTCCTACAAAAATATTACTCCTCGTTTAGAGTTAAATTGAAGCACTGCTTGACTCGTATTTTGATCTCACTTAATGCTGCAAATCCATGGCTGAAAATCTAGTCACTAATGCTCAGCTGGTCTCTTAATCCAAAAATAGGCAGATTAACATCATTTTGCAGTTTTTGTCTGTCAGAAATAGCATGTTCAGTGCCCAGCAGTTCCTCTGAAAAGCACACAGGAAGCTCCATAAATAAATGAATATCCTGTTTACAGCATTTTAATGATTCAACAAGATTTAACAAAGCCTTTCTATCCCATTCTCTGCCTTCAGTCTCAGCTTTCACTTCCACTTCTGCCCAGTCTGAGCAGTGATTAAAGGCTTCCCAGAGAGGAGCAGAACTTGGTTCAGTTCAAGGAAGTCATACCAGCATTTCCCAGTAAAAATACTGAGTATTACCACCCTGAATCCTTAAGGTTGGAAAAAAACCTCCAAGGACATCAAGCCCAACCTTTTCTGAGAGGTGGGGTTGTTCTGCCTGACCCTGGGCTGTGTCACAAGGCAAAAATCCCATTCAAATCCAAGGAATGGAGAGAGGGCCATCTCCTTTTTGATGCAATTACAGCATCAAACCTGTTTCCAATATTGCAGCATTTACAGACATGTTTTCCTTACCTCCCATTTCATCACCATTTCATTGGGTTCAGAAGCCTCAACTCGGATGTTTTCTGGGTTCTTGTCTGGAGCTGGAACCACACAGGGGACAAGGTTAGTTTGCATATCCTGGGGTTTATTTCCATTTAGTGTTTAAATGCAAAACAAGCATTTATTATGTCTCTATTAGTGAAAGACACCTACATAAAAAAACCACTTGTGAGATTAATTACTGGCATCAGCAGAGCTGATGTGACCAAAACACATTGTTTATGCAGTTTTGATTCCTAAGTGCCCCTGTTGGTTGGAGCCACCAGCTAACATGGAGCTGTGACTTTTGGATTGGAAAGCACCAGATGTAGGGGGATTATGAGGACGAGATTTCTCTCCCTGTGGGGACAGCAAACAGAAGGTGGATCATTAGTGGGACACACACACAAAGCTGAAGAAGGACCTGAAATTGAAGTAAAGAGGCTTAAAAAAAAAAAAAAGAGAAATGCCAAGGAATGCAAATGCTGTACTGAACAGTTGGCCTCTGAAATGACTTGCAGGGAGACAACATTCTCTGCCACAGTGAAATGCTCTGTGAATGGAGAGTTTTGACAAGCTCAGTGCTGCTGAAAGGCTCCCTGCAAACCCAGCTCTTCTCCAGCAACTTGTCCATGAAGGGCTGCCAAGGGCTTTAAAGGTGGAAAATCAGCAGAGTGGGGTGCTAGAGGCAGGAAAAACACAGCAGCCTGGACTCTTCCCTCTGGCACCCTCTGGAATTTTATGTAGCACAGCAAGTTGGATCATTAAAATTTAGATTTGTTCTAACTACACACCAAATGCTTGAAACTGTGCCTAGACACTTAATGTGCAACTGCTGGACTACTCTGTTTTTACCAGTCACTGAAGAATCCATCCCAGCATGGCTCCCATCTAATTAACATTCATTTCTAGAACAGCAGAAGATGTATGACAATGGCTGGTCATGAGACATTCTCCAGTTCATTTCATTTCCCTGAAAACGTGCTACTTTCATTAATAAAGTTAATTAAAGTGGTCACCTGCCCCTCCAAACATGCTGAGGGTTATTTCAGGCCACTGGACCAGCTGTGGGTGTTTCCCACCACATAACCTACTTTTAATAATCCTTTGAGCTGCCACCGAAAGCAGCACGGGTGACCTTGATTCCTTCACCCCTCTGAAGAACAGGAGGGCACAGAAAACGCTGAAAAACCCACTAAAAATGGTAACATTCAGGAAATCAGAGAGGAGTTTTTACCAGCTGGGGGTGTTGAGTAGCGCAGGGATGGTTTGCTGGGTTGGCTCCTCCCCACAGCGTTCACAGACACGACACGGAACTGATAATTCACGTACGGGGACAGGGACAACACGGCCGTGGTGTCATTCCCTGGGATTCTGGTGAGCTCCTGCCACCTCCCTGGCTCCCACCTGTTCTCTTCAAACTCTACGATGGACTCTGAGCAGGAAAAGGAACAAAAACAGAAGGAAAAAAAGGCAGAGCTTGCATAAACAGCTTAGAACTATCTCAGAACAACTTACAGCAAATTGAGTGGAGTAACCAAATGGATCAAGGAGGGCTGTGAGCAGGGTTTGTTTCTTTAAACAGCCACGCTGTGCCAGAATGAGGAACAGCATGAGAGGATGCTAAAAAACCCCTCCTACCATTGACAGGGCTGTTGTGGCTGGACCCAGCTCTCCAGGACAGTCGAACACTTCGGTTCTGGTTTTCAGAGAGCTGAAGGTCTTCTGGTGGATCAGGAACATCTGAGAAAGAAGGAGGAAGTGTCAGGAGCACAGCCAGCTGTTTCTGGTTTTTTAGCATTTTCCAAAGGATTGGAGCAGCAAGTTCAGTGAGGGTGGTGGTAAAACAGCCTTTGATTTCAAAATGGACACAATGAGGAAAGCAGGAATTGCTTTTGAAAATCCTTTTTGTTCCAGACAACCAGGAGGATTCTTCAGGACCCAGGGAATGGCTGGAGCTGTGTCAGAGCAGGCTCAGGGTGGATCTCAGGAAAGGTTCTTCCCCCAGAGGGTGGTTGGCACTGAACAGGCTCCCCAGGGCAGTGGGCACAGCCCCAGGGCTGCCAGAGCTCCAGGAGGGTTTGGATGATCCTCTGGGGCACAGGGTGGGACTCTTGGGGATGGGCCTGTGCAGGGCTGAGAGTTGGACTGGATGATCCTTGTGGGTCCCTTCCAACTCTGCATATTCTGGGATTCTAGCCCTGATTTTTCCTTTTTAAACACAATATCCTTCTCAAGTTCATTTCCATCTACTCTCATTACTGCACTTGCAACAACAAAGTTTTCTTTTCAAATCAACACCAAGATCTATTTAATCATTAATAGATATTGACACTGCTCTCAGCAGGAACTTATATCAGCATCACTTGGATTTCCTCTGGAGCAAACCACAGTGGGAGAAGGTGACTCAGCTCTGACAGTTATTGAACTTGGCCTTTTAGGGTATGACTGAAGGGATAACATTCATTATCCCAGCCATGGGGATCTATATTAATAAGAAACAAGAAAATTAATTACCTGCCGGCTCCACTAATGCTGTCCAGAGAATATATCAGAGGTAGAGGTGATGGTGAGTGTGACAACTATCCTGAACCTCCTAGGGACAAATCTGGGGCTCCAGAAGCCCCAAGCACAGAACTATCTGCTGCCAGAGATCGCTTTTTAGGGACATGATTGCCAGCATGACCAAAAGATGCTGCTCCCCCTCACAGACCTCGGCTACAGCAAGGGGGACAACCATCTCCAACACCTCCTTTTGCCAAAATTCTTGTAATTGAATGAGCACTTCCAAATCCAGCAGTTTCAGCCTGACAGGTGTTTCTCTGCCCTGTGGCTTGCTCTGACAGTCTGATTGGATTGGATTGGTTTGGTAACTGGAATGTGATGTAAAAGAGCAGTTTCTCCCTGCTGGGGGCTGGTGGCAATGACTCTTCACCCTCCCAAAGTCACAAACACACTCCCCCCTTAAACAGGGCTGGTGTTTCAACACCTAAAAAATGTGCAGACCAAGGAAATGTGATTGCACAACTTCAGGTCTTTGACCTGCCTCCACCCCAATCCCCAACTCCATTTTTGGCTGACAATATTATTTCTTACAGGAAAACCAGTTCCTTCAACCACAGACTGTCTCTGTCATTGTGAAAGAAATTCATTGTGTTTGTTTTAAATAACAATAATGTGTTTTCTTGTTTTGGAAAGGGATGGAGTCACCATGTCTGCTGGTCTTCAAAAGATGTGTGGATGTGGCTCTTGTGGACATGGTTAACATCTGGACTCAGTGGTCTTAGAGGTCTTTCCCAATCTGAACAACTCTATGATTCTTTGTTTATCTCAGGGTACATCAAAAAGTTAAGAACTTCATATTTTAAGTTAAGAAGTTTTATATTTGGGTTGAAGGTTTTGTTTTTTTGTTTTGTTTTACTTTTCTTTGCATTTCTTACTCCTATTTCTTTAATACCCTGGAAAAAATCAGGAAAGCACAGTTTAAAAATCTCCAGGAATTTTGCTGTTCTATTCTTGGAGTATATCCATTTAAAATTCAGTATATTAATTTAAAGATGCTGATGGTGCATCTTAAAGATACTCAGCCCGCTACCTGTTCATTAAATATACAACAGATATTTAGAAATATTCTAACTGAATATTTCTTTTGCTCTTAGTTGCCCATATTCTGATGTCTCCATCTGTGCCATATTTAGTTCTTTAGTCATCTCACAAGTCTTTCATTGCAAAAGAAACCTGAATTTTTCATTTGAAAGGTAACAGATACTGTTAATCCACCAAGACCTTTCTTATATGCAATAAACAAGGAGAAAAGTGCACAAAACTGTTTTTCTTCTTCTGCAAACCAGTTTTTTAAAAAGGAATAAAGTACTTTATGAAATTTTCATAAGGAATGTAACGAATAGCCTACAAGCATTTTGAATTATACAGCACTGAGGAACCCAGTACCATAAATAATGTGCACAGCATCTTCTTAATTTACTATTTACTGAAAAATATCACGCCTTTAAAGTGCAAAAACATCCTGAAGGTCAGATTGACTTATTTCTTTTTGCAATCACTGCCAGAAATGAATAAAAATGTACAATGGAGCAAAAATTAACGTGATTAAAACTGTCCACAAAATTGTAGTTATTGGGTGATGCCCTTGGGTACCTGTGCAATGGGATGCACATCACAAATTCACCCTCTTAATTCCAAGTGGCCCTTCAGGAAGGGAGGAAGGTTGGAAGGAGGCTCACACAAGGTCAAGCTTCAGACCCAGTGGGTCAAGGCTTTCCTCTGCTGTGGACTTTCTCTTTGCCACTGGACAATCATTTACGTTCAGATTCACAGAGAAAATTAATCCTTTCAGGTGCTTAACTGGCACTGATCTTCAGTGGAGCTGGACAACTAAATACTGGCCTTATGTCCTTCTTCTTCAAAAAATAGTTCAATTCTTATGTAGATTTCCAATAGAATGAGATGAAGGACTGAGCACGGACTTCAAAGCAGCAGCAGGGCCATTCTTAATATGCTGTTACACCTTCCAACCTGGGCTCCCCCCCTACAGCCACTGTGGGGGACTCCAGAACTGAGAAAAAAATGCTGCCTCATCTTACTATAACCAAGATGAAATATAAATAAGTGCTGCAATGGCATTTGGAGCTGTCTGAGCAGCAGGAAAATCAGCCCTTACCAAGAACAATCAGCTGCGACTCGGCCGTGGCAGAATCCAGGGAAGTGCTGCCCACACAGGTGTAAACTCCTTGATCCTCCAGCAGCACACTGGAGATGAACAGTGTATCCCTGTCCAGGATCATCCTAAAGGGACAACAAAAAAACCAAAAACAAAGGATGAAAAAAATCTGTAAGATAAATATGACAGACAGACACCACTGTTCTCTGAAAAACTGAGCCTAAAAGAACTTGGTAATGGGACATGCTGACATAATTGCACACCAGGACTATTAATTTAAACATAATTGTAGTTGTATTATACGCTGTGCTGGGGACTGTTATTTGTGTTTTGTAGCAATTTCGCCTCCGTGGCTGGAAGTTGATGTGTCAATGCTGGTCTGAAAAGAACCCCATTGATATGCACGGGATCAGTGTCTGAATCATGGGATTTTGGCACGTCATTAATGAGGCAAATGTGTGGGCTTTATGCCGGAATTTTTGAAAGGGTGGAGTAAAACTGGGCATTCCCAATCCACCTGTGTAATGTCCAATGCCCAGGGGAAGTTGGAATTATCCCAGGCAAGTGTGCTCCATGGCAGACATGGAATTGCCTGGCACTCCCTCCCCACCCTAGGTGGGCTCAGCAGGATCTCCAACCTCTCCAGCACTGCAGTGTTTAGGAAACCATCTCCTTTCTGTGGTAATTAATAAAGACACCTATTAACCACTGTGGGACCCCTCCCATGGAATAGGGGCTGAGCTCCACCCTCTGGAGGAAAATGGCAACACAAAAAATAGACCAAAACTCAGCCTGGGCTTGCAAGTCCTAAACTTACATGTAGGACAAACTCGTTGCTTTTAATGTGTAGGATTGTAGGCAGAATCCCACAAATCTGTTTTCCATTCATTTCAACATTGGAAGGACTTTGCTTTGGTCAAACAGGTGTAAAACACAGGAAAAAAATAGTTCCAGTAAAGAAGAGAAACAAAACCCTAGTTGGCTGCCCTGGGGGGTTTTGGGTTGAACCAACATTTATATTATATATAAATTCTACATATTAGATAGATAGATAGATAGATAGATAGAAATAGGTAGAAATAGATATATAGATATAGGTAGATATATATTTTATAGTAGATATATATAAATAGATAGATATTGAGATATAAAGTATAACATTATGTTCTGCTGTGGGGATGAAAGAGTTAATAAATCCCCAAACCATTTACCATGGACAGTAACTCATTCAGTTGGATTTATATGTATAAAATGCAGATCTATTCACACACCACATGAAGAATTCTTGCAGCCTTAAATTTGCATTTCAAGCTATTAAGGCTCGTGGTTTAATGAATCTCGTGTTGCAGCCCCACATCACATCATCCAGCTGAGATCAGAAAATCCTTGTTCCCCCCCCACTCACCTGCCACCTTCCGTGCTGTTGACTGGCAGCTCATCTCCATCTTTCCTCCAGGATAATTTAAAGCTGTGTTTCAAGTGGGAATCATACTCAGCCTGACATTTCAACAAAATTGAATGTGATTTCAACACTCTGGGGTTCTTGGGAGTAACAGCAAGTTTTGTAGCATCTGATTGATCACAGAAAAACACTTTGATTAGGAGAGAGAGGGACTATTATATCAAATTTTTTACCCTTCATATATAAAAATCAACCTTAGGAGCAACAATCATGTCTTTTTTTTTTATTTTTTTTTTGTTATGTATACACACATTTCAAGAGAAGGATGGTTTGTTTTGAACTAGATATTTGCCAGGATTTAATTTTTTTGTCTTGAAGAGTTTTTCAGTTCACTCTAATTCAAAGAGCTCCAGAAAAAAAAAAAAACCTCCACAAAATAAAAAGTCACAGGTGAAAATCCTTGTTAGCAGACTGTCATGAAAGGGGTGATAAAAAAAAGAAAAAAAAAGGCTTGAATATGATTTTTATGTCTAATTGCCATTTGAAATAAGCTTTGGCAATGATCCAAGAAAAATTACAAGCTTATTAAAGTCAAGTGAGAAAAAATTATTGCAATCAAGTTTGTTCTTTTAATTGACTGTAATGCAAACGCAGAAACAGATGAATAAGTAAGGAGAAGGCACTTAGCAGAATTTATATTTGCAGAGAAACGTTGCTCTGTGAGAATTTCATTGTGCATTTTCATGTTTATTAGCACTGTAAAAATTACAAAGCAAAGGGAGTGGGTGGAAATAGAACACAAAGGGAGTGGCCTTTTCCCCTCAAGTTTGTCACAGCAAACCCTGCATTGGAGAGTCCTTTGGAGGACTTTGCTAATTGAGTATTTAAGGGTTTTTTATTGGCCTTACACAAATCCTAAGTAAATTTGTGTAAAACCCACTGTGCACTGAACAGAAGCTGTTTGCTGCCAACCTGGCATATAAATCCCTTAAAACAGAACTGGAGCCCAAGGAATGGATCTAAAATTTATAAATAAACACATTTCAGTAATTTTTTGGGGTTGTTTTTGCTGTATTTACAAATATTTATCAACAAACAGGCAAAAGCTCGGTGTTTAAGAGTTGGAGAGTCCTTAAACCAGCAGCACCCAGAACTCATCCTGCTGCACCGTGCTTGGTGTGCACAGTGGAATTTAATTCAGTTTGGGATGTTCCTTCTGACCAGCAAATGGGAAATAGCCTTAGGGAAGGAGATGGGAAGTGGTTTTAGGGAAGGAGGAATCCCAAGGCTGTGGGAGAAGCAGGAGCCCTGTCTGGCTCAGCAAGGACCCCACCAAGCCACGAGCACAGGAAGGGCTCTGGGCTCCCAAGGGTCAGCCAAGAACCTGCTCTGTAACAGGACCAGCAGCAAAAAGGAGGGGAAATCCTTCCAGGATAATGAACTTAATGGACATGGGATGTAAACTGCAAATTTTTCATGATTTTTGCAGATTCTGCAAGTGCCAAGAAGAAAGTGGACATCGTGTATGAGCATGGAGAAATCCAACAGAAACATGGGACAATGTTAAAGGCTACATGTATGTGAGACTTGTAGCAATTCCAGGTCATAATACCCAGGGAATTTCTAGATTCACAGAATAAATCTGTATCCTGGACTGAGCATCTACTGATTATTTGTTCACTGAACATGTGTAAATGCAAAACCTTTCCCAGCTGGGGAAGGTTTTTCTGTTCACAGGCAAGTCCTTACCTCTTATATCCAAATTAGCAGTGATTGCTGTTTTTCCAACAGAATTGGCAGCCCAGCAAGCATAAGATCCTGAGTCTTCCTTCTTGGTGTCTTTGATCTCCAGGGTTCCATTCTTATTTAACTCATAGCGGAATGATGAGAGGGGCTCTATGCTCTCATCCTTGGTCCTAAAGATCATAACAATAGGGCTGGTTTATTTACAGGGCTGCAGGAACTGTTATTTCATGGAGTTATTGCAGGGCACATGGGAATTTTGGGTCTCAGCTCTGCCTCTGAGAAATTAGAGTCATGGTTAGGGTGTAGATTAGATATTAGGAAGGAATTCTTCCCTGGGAGGGTGGGCAGGCCCTGGCACAGGCTGCCCAGAGAAGCTGTGGCTGCCCCATCCCTGGAAGTGTCCAAGGCCAGGTTGGAACAACCTAGGCTAGTGGAAGGTGTCCCTGCCCGTGGCAGGGGGTGGAACGAGATGATCTTTAATTCCCTTCCATCCCAGACTATTCTGTGAGTCTATGACAAGTGTCATAAAGGTCTTTAAACTACTCTGCCTTTAATCTATAGCTGCCATCTGCTATGACAATCCTGTGATTTCCAACCCTTTGGAACCATGTCCAGCTAAATATGTCCTTTAAGTCACTGTGTTTCCACCTCAATAGTGTGTCCAAACTTACAAAGTTGCCAACATTAATCCAAGGATTAGTGGCAGGATTTGGCTATTACAGCATGGCTTGGCTCAACAAACATCCCAGCACTTGTCTCACACAGGTATTGAGGACTTTCATCAACCCTTTTTATAAACCAGTTCTTTCTGTAGAAATAATAACTAACAGATTTTTCAGTGTTTAGTGAGCCTGTATGAACTTGTCTCACATGAAAACATCACTTCCCAGTATCTTACCATCTGACATCTGCTGCAGGTGAGGCAAAGATGTCACAGCGCAGGAAGGCACTGTAACCCACCACTGTGGCATAGTTCTCCCCATCTGAGGTCAGGATTAAGGGAGCAATATCTGCAGATGAGAATGTAAAGTGAGAAGCACTGGATTTCACAACTGGGAATACAAATATTGTCCGTGCATCATCCACTTTCCCAGCAAAGGTCAAAGGCTGAGACACTGCATGGACATGCTGGACATGTCAGAAATGCCTGAAATGTCTCCATGAGGCAAACCAGACCCAGTTCTGCTTCCTTTAGGGTTGTTCTTTATTTAATAAATTCCCATTTTTCACCCCCTTTTTCAAAGAACAGGCTGGGAATCACAACTGAAAGGAAAGATTAGCAATACACTTAATAATTCAAAAATAGAGTTGTGGTCACAATTAAGCTCCCAGTGGTTTGGATTCAAAAATTTTTGAGCCCAAGCATGTTTTTAAAATAAAGAGTATATCAAAGCTCACGAGTATCTCTGCTAATACAATAGTGCCCATGGTAAGACTTGTTGCATTAACTTGGATAAAGCAATTAAAATCTGGGGCAGTGCAAGGCACTGTGACATGGTTACAAGCACCAAGCTGTCCAGAGGACTCAGGCACGGGAGTGGGACACTGGGGTTGTCAGATCTCTTACTGTGAAGAGGAAAGGGGCACTCACTGAGGACGTTCACGTTGGCACTGGCCAGGATGGTGCCGTGCTTGTTGGTGGCTTCACACTGGAACACGGCACTGTCCTGCAGCTGCAGGTTGGTCAGGCTGATCTCCCGGGTAGAGACCCTCCCTCGGAAAGTCCTGCCTGGAAAAACCCAAATTATGTCAGCAGCTGGAGAAAATTTGACTGTGGAGTTCACAGTCTCTGTTCACTGCTTGAAAGTCAAAGGCAAAGCACATCTTTAGGATGAGCCTGAGATCAGCTCAGTGGGTTGGAGCACAGTGCTACTAACACCAAGGTTGTGGGTTGGATCCCTGTATGGTGCTCCATACCATGCTGCATTCTCTTCAAGATCACATTTAAACATTAGCTTCTTAAGTAAATAAATATTAATTAATATCTAAATAGATTCAAAATCAGACATCAACCTAGCATGTTAAGATTTGTGAGTTCCCACCCAGCCAGCCCCCGGGGGAGGACACTGGACCCGGCACGTACTATCGATGGGCATCCCGTTGAGTTTCCACTGGATGCTCGGCTCTGGGTTGCCGATCGCCTCACACAGCAGCACGAGGTTCGTTCCCACGCTGTAGACCCCACCTTCGGGCTTCTTCAGCCACTGGGGAGGCTCTGGAAAGAGGGCACAGAGCAGGGATCAGTGTCACAGCCCCCGGTGTCTGACCCTGCCACTGCCGCGCTCCTCCAGGAGGTGGCAAACGCAGCCAACACTTCAGCCCGTCCCGCAGCCGAATGGGATTCCTTGCAAAACCCATGTCAGGAAAGGTAAAATTAGCATCAGCACACAGCGGTTCTGTCCTTCAGACTCTGTGAGTGTCAGGGAGAGTGTAGAAATGGGCAGTGCTTATCCAAGTGGAAAACAAATGCAAATAGAAGGCGAGAGGCTGGGGAAGCAAGGAAACCTGAGCGGGTCAGCATTTCCATCAGGACCCTCAGCCTCGAGACTGGTCTGGGAAATGAGCTGACACTATTTCAGCAATGCAAACAAGATGCAAATACCCATCCAGCTCAAATCCCCCTCTCTAGGCATGAGAAAGTGGCTCCCACTGCCTTGCCCAGGACTGGAAGGAGCTCCACGACAGGATTCAGCCCCTCCACCTGTGCTGAGCAAAGGCACTGTCACTTCAATATTCTCTTTTTCCATCCTGTGTTCAGATCAGAGGCTGACCTGAAGCACATTTAGGAATGATGAAACATTCTCTCATTTGGGGGATGAGAGGAGGTTTGGATGCAGAAATGTTGCCCACAGGGTGGTGGTAGAGGAGCAGGCATGTGCTGCTGCATTCCCTGTGCTCTGCTTTCCCAGCACTGCCAGGCAAACTGTGGGGCTCTGAGGAAACCTTCTGCTCTGCAGAGCAGCCCATGAGCGTCAGGTACCCAAACCTCGTTGGAAAAACATATCCATAAGGGAGGGAAGGGAACTGAGAGAGAGAAAAAAGAGCCTTTATCTGATAAATGCTTCATTCTCTGACTGAGTGCCCACTTCAGTGGGCAGCCTCAGTCCAGAATACAACCTTGAATTCATCATTATCTCTCCCTGAAAAGCAGGAAACTTATGGATTTTAATACCAGATTTGACACTAACTCTTCTGCATGTGCTTGGCAGACCACTGGGCCTCCTTCCCTATTTGAAACAGGTGGGTTAATGCATGGAAAACCCTTGGATCCATTAGTGAATGCTCACAGAACACTTTGAAGATGAACAGAGCTGTTGCCTGGTAATACAACTGCAGATGTTATCAGTGTGATATGCTAAAACAAAGCATCACTGCTCATACTGACACAGATATTAAAAAAAACACCTCTGAGATGATACACAGATGATACACACCCAGTCCAGCATTTCCAGATGAAGAGACATTGTTCATCAACCTATAAAGACTGCAGTAAAATCCAAGATACTGAACCTTATCTAAAATGATAAGATCTTCCCATTTCCTTCACACAGGACAGGTTTTCTCACCTTCCTCACACACTGAGAGTTGCCTGCCCAGAGTGATACAACATCACATTTGTTTTGTTTCCTGGTATTTGACTCCAGGAAAAAAAACAACTCTGCAAATAACAGAACATTTTGGTCTTGCAGATCTTTTTCCTTCTCTTCCTCACACAGATCACGCTATCCTCAGGAAAAGGCAGGTTAATGGCATGGAGGTGAAAAGGTTTGTAGCAGTCCTGATTAAATTGCTGGTTTGGAATTTTTTCCTCTAAATCTGCCACAGACACAGTACTTGAGACAGGATATTTCCTTGTTTTGGAGGAGGGGACACCAAGCACAGCCTGAATACAAACCACCTGATGGATCCCTTCCTATTTCCATCTGTGCATGCACATGATGCCACTCTTTCCTGTCTTAGCATGGCAATGGCTGTGGGTGCCCCAAGGGAACGATGCAGCTGTGAAGTCAGAGGGAATGAGATTTTGCCAAGTATGAAATGGAATTTCACAGAAAGGTTGAAGAACCTCTTTTCCATGTGGCAGACGTGCTATACTACTTATAAGTACACAAAGTATCAGAATAACAAAATATACATGTGTTTGCAGTAACTACAAAATCCACTGGTTGAATAGTCAAAGAGTTAATCTGTGTGAGCAACAGGCAGAGGCAAATATTTCCTGCATCTTCCTGGTAAGAGTTATCAAAGTGAGCCTCCTGATTTAGAGATTTATGTCTTTACGGAAAATACTGACAGGTTCAAAAATGAGAGGGATCTAAAATGGGCATTTAGTCCATCCTACTGCAACAGAGCAGGATCATCTACACCTAAAACACCCAAACCTTCCCCTCAGCCTCCCATGCTGTGCCACCACTGTGCTTTTCCCCAGGACTAGAACAAATTTGTAACATCTAACCAACGTCTGCCTTGCTGCAGATTAACATATTGTATCTTACATCATCCCCAGGAAACTTTGTGAAGTAAGCTTCCATTCATCTGAACGTTCTTGTGCGCTCCTCACATTTATTTTTTAACAAATTAAACATACCTGTTTTTTTTTCCCAAATGCCGTAGTTTTGGGTTCTGTGACCACCCTTGCTGCCTTCTCCTGAACTGCCTCAGTTAACCCCAGCCTTGATGTAAAATTCCTTACATTAGGTGAGGCTTTATCCGTTCTCAGTAGTTTTTTTTCTCACAGCAACACTTTTCTTCATACTTTCCAGGATGATTTTTGCCTTTTCTGTCAGACTAACTTTTCCCAGCCATGTTCAGCTCTCCTCCCAACCAGCCTGACCAGACATTTCCCATCCTGTGCTGATGAAGCCAATTAGTGCTGCCTGGGGAGAACTGCTTTGCACTTGTGCTCACTGAAGCCCGTCCTGTTTATTCCGGACCACCTTCCCAAGTTGTCAAAGTCCTTTCAAGTTCTCCTCACATCTTCCCAAAGGTTGGCAATCCATCCCACTTTGGGGGCATCAGCAGCACCTGCAGCTGCAGGGACCACCTTGGGCTCTGCATCCTGTTGAAGCAGTTTCCCAGGGAAACACAGAAATACAATTTGAACCCGATTAAAACACCCAGTCCTGGTTCTGCCTCACATTGGCTTCGTCTGTTTTCTTTTTCTCTAGCTGAGCACCAAAAGCATTGCAAGACATAACTGCCCAGGCCCTTAGCTATTGTATCATTACTAAAATAATCATTATATTGTAATAATTATTTCTATTAAACACCATTTAGGAGCCTCAATCAAGACCAAGTAACATTAGATACTGAAGGCATTATGATACTGAAGATTTTGAGGTTGCATGTGCATTTGCTGTTGGGTTTGGTGGTCTATAAACAATAACCAAATAAACATTTGAAATCAAAGCAATTCTTGGGCTTGCTTTGCTATTTTTTTTTAATATAATTGTCTCTCATTCTAATAACAGCAGTGGGGGTTTTATGCCTGCTCTGATGTTCCAGGTTTCATCTTCCCTTGCAAAGAGATATTAAAATGCTCAAACAGTCAAGCAATTTGCTCGCTGAATATTTTCATGTGCTTGGTAATAATTACCTGAATCCTTGCCCTCAGACTCAGTAGGATTAGAAAGTGGGCTGCATGCAAATATCATTAAAATTGTTATTTAGAAGGATGGGGTAGTGGTTTGAGATCCTCAAATACCAGAAAGAAGAACAAAAAACATGGCAGTGAATCCTGATTTACACACCAGCACTAGACTGAAGATGGTTGGTGGTTAATAATAGATAATTTTTCTTCCATGTTTAATTTTCTTTTCCCTTTGAGAGGAGCCTGTCAGGTGTGAGGAAGCCCTAAGTCAGCACAACCTCCCTGAAGCCAACTGAAATTAATGCTCAATTCCAGAGCTCAGGATCTGCCCTTGAGTGTGCTCACAGGAGCTCCTGCAAGAATGATGAACGTGCCCATCTCTGATTAATGACAGTGACATTTGCTGGTTAGAAATTGGAGAAGACAACAGTGTTTGGGCTCATTTTTACCTTGATACCTTGGATGTGAGGTGACTCCTAATAGGAAGAATTCCTGCAGGTGACAGTAGTCATCATTAGTTACACACACGGAAAATGAATTTAACAGCAATGGCTGGAGTGGGATTATTCCCTTCTTTTACTTTTTTTTTTTTTTCCAGAAAGTTTTCCTTCCTCTACAGACCGGGGGAGATGGAGGTCAAAATCCCAAACTGCTAAATTAATGTTATTTCTCTGGTATTTTAGTTTCTGCCGCTCCTGCAATTTCTTTGAAGGAATCGATTTTTACAGCCGAGAAAATCATCGCCAGATTGTTAAAATATTCAGCTACAGCAGAGATGCTCCAAACCATCTGGAATGATTTCTGGGAGTCAGCACTTCCCCTCCATCGCAGCTGAAAACTTGCCATGCCCTGGTATCCCCCTCTGCCACACTTGCAGTGAGGGAAAGAGGACTGTGAGGCACAAGGTTGTGTCAAGGGAACAAGGATGATTCATCACACACTGGGAGAAAAGGCTTTTCCTCAGCTGAGAAGTAAACACAAAGCAGGGGTTGAAAGTGCCTTTCCTCCCATCAGGATTTCTTGTGACCAGGCAGTGAGAAGAAGCCCAGATGAAAATGAAGCTGTTGGCAGGCTCTGACAGATAATCCCGCCTGTGATTTATTTTATTTTTTGACTCTGCAGAGCAGAGGATGGAACGTTTCTCATCAGTAAAATGTTTTCAGGGAGTTTTTCAGCTGTGCTTAAGGGTTCCCATTCTGTAGCTATTTCTGGACAGAGAGCTGCAGTGGCAGGGAGGGTTGTGCAGGTCTGGCTTGTCTTTTCTAAGTCTCACCAGAGCTCTGCTTGGCTCCTGGAAAAGAGCATCTACATCTACCTTGTGTGAAGGGCTCACACCTTCAGAATTTGGGGAGCAGAAAGGGGGATGGAGCCACACACCTCTATCTGCACTCTGCAAGATGCCTGGGATGAAGGTGTCTTGTCTGGCTTTGTTCATCCACCACCTTCTTGAGCACCATAAATAAATGATGACCAAATCTTGCACAAACACAGCAGGTTCTCTGCTTGGCACAAGCACAGGCAGCCAACACTCACCTGGATCAGCCACCAGACCCGTGTGGGCTCATCACAGGGATTCACCACCCCCCACACAAGGGTAGGATGGGCAGAAGTGGAACCCTAAAGCTGTTTATGAATGCTGCTAATATTGGTCATCCTCCCAAGCATGCAGGTGGGGTGGGAACAGGCCTTGGATACTCGGTGGGATGAGAAAAAGGATCATATCTCAAGGTTTTAAAACTGTTGTGGAGGTAGTGGATTGTTCACAGGTTGGACTCAGAGGTCTTTTCCAACCTAAATGGGGGAGGAGAGAGATGGTACCATGTCTGCTCCCTGTATTTTTACAACCCTCCCTAGGAACTTGCTTTTGGTGGAAGCCAAAGAAGTAGAACAGAGCTAAATGTCCCTCTGATCCAGCCCAGTGTAGCCATTTTCACAGTCTTTAAGGGCAAGTGGAATAATTAGATCTTTTTGTCTGACACTCAGATTAATACAAGACATTTCATCAATATCTCTGCTCGACTAACTCCCATCTTTGGAGCATTGAATCTGCTCACGTATTTGTACTCCTGTTCACCACTTTGTAAGGCCTTCATGATTCAGGAAAAAAGATGCATTATTTATATATATATATGTTTGTTTGGTTTTTAGAGGTGCTGCTTTCTGCAACCTTCCCAAATTTAAGAGATGGGTCCTTGGTAAGCAAAAATTAAATAGTGTTATGCAATTCACACATATAGCAAAGGTCATTATTACTATATAAATATAAAATTATATATAAAAGGTTAATATTACTATTGTTCCCTTCCCTTTCACCACCTCTCTGTTCAAAATCAATCAGGTTAGTTGAAGTGTACTCAGTACCTTCCACGTGGACGTGGAACTCGTGCCTCGCCCTCCCCATGGGGTTGCTCGCCGTGCACTGGTACGTCCCCTCATCAGCTGCTGTCACTTGGTCTATCTTCAGGATCTTCCCAAAATTCTCTGTTTCTGGTTCCTCCTTGGGCATGTTTCCAGTGACTTTGACCCAGCTCAGATGAGGGGTTGGGCTAAGAAAGAAAAAAAGGAAGATTTTTAGTTGCGTACTAAGCTGCTTCCTATTATATCACTGCTGGACTTCGCACTGTGGTTTGTCTGAGGATTTTGAGCTTTTTAAAACTCTAGGGCTAACTAATGGTTATATTATAGACTAAAACTAATCTGTACTGCTTCTTGATTTGGAGGACCCCTGTGAGTAGGTTCTTCAGCAGGGCAAAGCATTCCTTGTGTGTGTGTGTTGGCACGGACTGTGGGAGAGGGACCGGAGCTCATCTCATCCCGCTCCAAAGGGGCACCTGAGGACAGACAAGGAGGTGAAGACTTCATTAGAGTGACTTCACTCACTGCCTGCCTGATGACCAGCCACTGGAGGTGGCTGAAATGCCCTTTACAGCCTCAGAAAGCAGTGACACGGGGACTGAGGCCAGGCCGTTGTCTGCACATTCCCAGCCGGGCTCCGCATTCCCGACACACGGGCACGGTGTCGTATCTGCTCACCCTCGTGCCCATCTGTTCCTGTGGCTGAACGCCCTGGCACGAGCTGCACAGAGCTCCAGGTACCCAGAAATTGTGGATTTCCAGGAGCACCGACTGCAAATTATTTCCTGCAAGAGCCCTTGTCCCTCTCTTGTCCCCAGGCCAGGCTTTGTGTCTCCTCGGTGCTGCACCGAGGCGATGCCCTCCTGGCACTGCCATCACTCAGAGTGTAAAAGCCTTCAAAAGATGACAGATTGGAAATGTACTCAATTCCTTATTTTGCAGTTGGGTGGCCCTGATCTTAGTTACTGGGAATCTGGCTCGGTCTACCTGCTTATGTGGTCTGGGGGACATGTGGTGGGATGGATTGGCAGAGATGTGGGCAAAACTGATCGTTTTTCTGCTGAAAAGGGAAATTTTAGCAAATGAAAGTAGCAATTTTTTTTGTTCTGAATATTGCATTTTTTGAAGGCTTTCGATGAAAGTGCAAAGAAGTACTTTGTATTCTTTCAAAAGTGACTACTTAAAAAAACCCAAAAAACAAAAAACCACCTTTTTGTTTGAAAAATAATTATTAAAAGAGTTTCCTGGAAAATTTTGAGTGAAAACAGTATTATTTTTTTTAACCTTTTCCCAAATAAACAAGCTTTTATGGCTTTCTCTTCTTGTATATGATATTAATTCCTGCACCTGAAATTCATATTTGAGGTTTTTTCAAGGGGTTTTGCCCATTCATTGCTTTGAAAACCCTATGAACTCATAGCTGTGGACTTGGGGAGGTTTGTGGGTCGGTGAATTAGCTTGATGGGAAGTGAATTAGACAAGGAAGTGTTGCAACAGGGAACCAAAACTCGCTGCAGATACCTGGAGTGAATCCAACAGAGACAAGGAATTCACCTGCTTTCAGGAATGCCAACCAACTGCAGAGGCAGAACCCTGCCAGCCTAAATGAGCAATGCCCTTTCAAGCCCTCATGGAAAAACAAAATACCCTAAACATGTTTGTTCAGGCAGATAAATATCCTGACTTTGGAATTTTACAGAGGGGATATAATTGCAGAGCCTTTAATGTGAGTTTTCTCCCTGCTAAGCAGACTCTGCTGTACAGCACGAGGAGGGGGTGATTTAAGGCTCTGTTCGACACAAAGCTCTGTCACAAACAAACCAGAAGGGACTTTGCTTTCACTGTGGGTTTGGTGGGTGCAGAGATTTTCACTTCACCTGTTTCTCTGGTGGCAACTCGACTATTGCATGGACAGGCACATGGGGAATGTTGGAAAACTGGACTGGGGTTTCTGTCTGTGTGAGTTAGTGCAGCAGGGACAGCTCTGAGAGAGGGACTGGAGGGATGACACTCAGCATTTATTTAGCCCTTCCCTTTCTTTGCTTACCTTCATTTTGCCCTGTGTTATTTACAATAAGCAACAAAATTGTCCTGATTTCCTGCCACACACCATCTATTTTAACCCTTCCCTATATTATTAACCCTTCCAGGACCTTAAAAGAACCTAAAAGAGAAAGGAAGAGAAACTATTTACAAGAGCCTGGAGTGACAGGACAAGGGGGACTGGCTTCAAACTGAATGAGAGTAGGTTTAGGCTGGATTTTAGAAAGAAATTCTTCCTGGTAGGGTGGGCAGGCCCTGGCACAGGTTGCCCAGAGAAGCTGTGGCTGCCCCTGGATCCCTGGGAGTGTCCAAGGCCAGGTTGGACGGGGTTTGGAGCAACCTGGGCTGGTGGAAGGTGTCTCTGCCCATGGCAGGGGGTGGCACTGGATGATCTTTAAGGTTCCTTCCAACCCAGACCATTCTGGTGTTCTGGGATATATTTTACAGTGAACATCTCCTCCTCCAGGTATTCCTCCATACTTCTTACACCTGGATCCACAACTAACCTTTGAGTAGCTTTCTGATATAAATGCTGACAGCAACAACGAGTTTGAGGTATCTGTGCAGCTCAAAACACCACAGGACACACAGGAGTGAGCCCAAGAAAACATGGGACTGGGACTAAGTCTGAGGTTTGTCCATTACTGCTGGTTTTAGCAGGATCAAACCAATAAGGCTGATTCAGGTTCACTGTATTTTTGCATAGTCAGGGACTTTGTTCCTTGACATGCTGTCATCTGTGAGAGCATCCTGGAAAGAACATCCTTTGTGTGGGAATTCTGAATGCTGGGGAATGGACCACGGCAAGCAGGGAGGTTCACGTGTACACCTGAACCAGCATCTCCTTCTTCAACCAGGTGAGATGGACCACTGGTTTCACTCAGTGGCACATCCCTTCCTTAAAAGATGTCTTGTATCACATCACTCAAGGACTTCTCTTTTAAAATAACATGATATTTTGCACGTGGAAAAAACTGAAAAAAAATGTTGAGCACTGAAGCAAAACTGAATTGACCAAAGCAGAAAAGAAACATCCCAGGTTGTGAGCCACAAAACAGAAGCTGATGCTGATGTTCTTTAGTTCCTCAACATCTCAAAAGTGGTACTACTGAAAAAATTCAATAGTAGGGATCTTTTTAATATAAGAGTAAAAAAAAAAAAATCAATACTTACCATGATCTGATTTTAATTACTTGTTTACAAGCTACAGCAATAACCAGTGTTGCATGAACTCTGTGCTGCTTTACAAGGAGCACACAAACTTCACAAACAACTCTGCACAGAAATTCAATTTCAAACTGGTGTATAATTTGAAACAGAGCTCTTTCTCTGCTCATTTCTATCTCAAGAGGTGGGTGATTAAGTTGTGCAGCATTGTGCATTACTCACAGCCCTTCAGCAATGCATTCGAGGAGCAGGACACCTCCCTTGATGACAGTGACTGATGAGCTACTGCCAGCAGATTCAGGAGGGATCAGCAGTTTGGGTTTTCTTTCCTTGATAAAATTTGCTGAAAGATAAAATAAAAGAGGAGTTAGATATGAAATCTTAGAGCCTTCAATAATGCCACAAACATCACTGCTGTCAGAAGGTTTCAGGCATCGATTTGAATGTTTTCTTTTTTATTTATACAGTTTGAGCCTGATCCAGGACACTTATTTCTCCTGATAAGAGTCAGAAGACAAGTGCAGTGGTATCAACAGGCAGCAGTACTGGTGAAACCCCTTTTTCTTACAGTTTTATGTCCTGTTTTCCAAGGACTGGCCCTTCCTATCATTCACCTCATCCAGTCTGGGTACTCTGGTGCTCTCAATTGCTGAGCTTCTGGTCCACAGCATCTTTCTTACCACCTTTCTTCTGCATTGACTCTGTTATCTTTTAAACCTCAGATGAAACCCCAGGTCTCCTGACTTGAACATCCCACAGAATCACCCTTCTTGCTACAATTATTAAATCTGCAGTAATGGAGGCACAATTTGTAGGGAAGACTGTTAAAATAATAAAACAAGATTGACTTGTATTTGATTTCAACGGCCCATTTGTTCCAGGCTGCCAAACAAGGGTTTCATGATGAAACACAGAGAGAGCTCAATGCCTGCCCTGTTATCACTCTCATAACAATTAGCACAGTAATGAATAAGTCCCCAAATGGTCCTAGTTCTTCAAAAATAGTCAGTTATGGATGATTTGGTAAAAGACCACATGTATCTCCCTGAACCATTTTCTGGTTTTTCATTTCTCCCTCCCCTTGCTTTGTGCCTCTGCAGATCTGTGTCACGAGCGCTCTGAGCTGCAGCAGAACCCTTTGGTGCCTCTGGATATGCTCACACATTTCCCATCTGCCTCCACCTCCTGCTTCCAAAGGCAGGCAGTGCCCCTTCCCAGCAGGAGTTCAGATATCCCTTCCAGGGAAAAACTGGGTTGGAGTGTCTGTCACACCTCACAGGACCTGCTTGCTCTGCTCATGGGGCTCAGCCTCCACGGGCAAAGGCTTGAGGACTGATGAGTGCTCCAAATTATCCAAAAACCCTTTCCAGTGCTTGTCCAAAACAAGCAATTTCGGGAGGTTCAAATCGGGAATTTCAAAAAACAGAGACTCCCAAAAGCAATTCAGCCAAAGAAATCAGAGTCGAGAGCTCCAAACAAAACCCAAGGCTCTCATTTTTATACATTTCAAACAAAATTAAATGGGTGGAGAATTGCAGGGATAGCCACTAGCTGCCTTCTGGCTTATCCCCACTGCCTGCATAAAGCTCAGCAGGATATTTCCAGGTTATATTTTCACAGAGAGGGGCACAAAAAGCAGTGGAAGTTGGGAATTCCCGGGATGAAAAGTGCTTTGCTGTAGTTCTTACCTGTGGGGAGTAACATGCAGGTCAAGGTACAAACAGAGAGAACCACCTCTCATTGACAAGGGGGACAATTAGAGCACCCCAAACTCTGTAAATCCACACCTTGAGCTCACCCTCAAATAATGCAGCCCCAGGGTGACCCTTTGGACATGAATTCATGGTGTCAAACCATCACTCCCTAATCCCAGAGTCCTCTTAACTGCCAGAAAGAGATTTGGAACATCCAGCTCTGGCTCCTGCTCTGAGCTGATAACACAAGAAACCCAGGATGTCACCCTCCTTACATCATGTTCTGGAGTGTGAATGCTCCTTTCTCAACTAAAAAGCCCTACCTTTTTATTAAAAACCCTGCAGATTTCTGTCAAAACCTACAAGATGAGCAAATTTTCCTCCACGGAGCACTTAAATCCAACCCATCACAATCAAAAGGCTTTTTGTGATATTTTATTTTTTTTTTTTTTCTTTTTTTTTTTTTTTTACCAGCTCCCATTTTATCTCAGCTGGTGGATTCTCAGTTTAAAGGCTAAAGAACAGATGCATTCAACTCACCCTTAGTAACAGCAGCGTTAGGTGAGCCTGAGTCATTAGCATGCTTTACTGAAATAAATAAAAGTGACAACCAAACACAAACATGCAGGGTTGAGACAGAATCAAAAGAAAACAATAAATCAACCAAAACAAAATCATGCCCCTCCTCACCCCCCTCAATTTCTGCCATAAAAGAAAGAAAGAAAGAAAGAAAAATATAAAGGAAAGCAACAGATGAACAACAAATTTTTGAAAATACAATGAAAATTGTTCAAGTATATGTATTATTCTGCAAAATACTCCATGAGTGATGTGATGCTTTTCAACCTTGCTATCTAGGGTAATTAAAAAACCACTAAGTTCTAAGTATCCATTAAAAAGAAATGGTATAAAATCTATTTATTTGCTTTGTTTAAATATTTTTTGTATGTGTTTTTTTAATGCAGTCCCTCAGCAGGGACTTGATGCAGAATAGGGTGGGCAATGTCAAGCTGAGTTTACAAAACCCTTTAATTTATGTTTCACTTTTTTATTTCCTGGACCAAGTCTTGTGGCTTTGGTGACAAGGTGGACACAGTGAAGTGGGTTTTTGGGTCACTTCCAGGGCTACCAGTGGCCCCACAGCCAAAGCCCATCTAATTTTTCTCTAATCTGTGTGTGGGGGACTGGACCCAGTGGAAAACCCACAGAGAGCAACATTTCCTCTGGATATTTTTCTCACAATTATTATCCCAAGATACACTTTAAGCCAAGCATTAAGACACACACAAAGCCACTATTAATCCTCTATCTTTTTATCCTGACAAGAAAACACTCAAAATCACATAACAAATATGAGATTTTCATTCATGAAGAAAAAAAAGCAAAAAAATCTCCTTGGCTTTCTGGGCCTCATAAGCCCCAAAGGTCAGAAGTATTAGTGGAACAGAAAACTGATATTAAGGGCATGGAAGGCACAGTGAGTGGTACAAGTGATAGCACAAATTCTTACAGCCAGAAGAGGTGCAGGCAGAGCAGGATGGGATTCCAGTTGGTTTAAGCTGCCTCAGTTCCACTGTTGGGCTTTGCTGGTTTAACCCAGCTGGGACTGGGCCCTAAAGTTGCACCAAGGGAGGTTTAGGTTGGGTATCAGGGAAAGTTTCGTCACTGAAAGGTTTCTCCAGCCCTGGCACAGCTGCCCAGGGCAGTGGTGGAGTCCCCATCCCTGCAGGGATTTTAAAGCCATGTGGATGTGGCACTTGGGGACCTGGGTTATTTCTGGGCTTGGCAGTGCTGGGAGAACAGTTGGACTCGGTGATCTCCAAGGACTTTTCCAACCTAAACAATTCTGAGATTCTGTGGGAGAGCAATCCCTGCACGCCCCAGTGAGATTCAGGGGCAGGGCAGCACCTCAAACCATCTTTTGTGTAAAACCCTTGGAGACTAGAGGAAAACAGAGATGTAAAAATGAATTAAAAAAAAAATGAATAAATGGAAATTTGGCGTTCCCTACACAACATTTCATTAGGAAAATGGAAAATGCCTCCTGTGTGACTACTGATCTTGAAGGCAGCCTGGAAAGCACCGTCCTTCCCAACCACATGGATGCAGCTGGACAAAAAAAGAGAGGAGGTGGCCACATAAAGTCCTCAAACCCCAGTGAAGTCCCATCTGTCAGAGACCTGCAGGATGCAAGAGAAGCAGATTTCCCTAATACATCATTGGCTTCCCCAGTGGGGAGAACAGGAGGCAGAACAGGGCACTTTTGGGGGCTGACAGCTGCAGAAAGCTTTTCTCAGTTGAATTTAGCCCTGAGAATAAGGTTAATAATGCAGGAAATAAGCTCAGTAACGTGCCCTTTCTTGAGAGAGCATCTCTTCAGAGACACAGGGCACACATGTGCATGCACTGATGCCTGGGGAGTTCAAAAAGCACCAGAAAACAGGGAGCTGCTCATGCCCAGACTTACAACGGGAAACCTTCAGCGTCATCGGCATTTTCTGCACAATCGTCCTGAGCCTTGGAAATGCTGCAAAGCAACAATAATCACTTCTGCTGTCATGCTCCTCCACGTTGGCGAAGTACAGATCTCCCTTAAGGCTCATGGAGACCCTTTCATCTTGTGGAATGTGCTGCAAATCTGCAAGGGGAAAAAATAATTGTGAGATGGTAACGACACTGAGCTGCTTCACTAATGCTCCCCTCTCATGTGCTTCCTTCCAGATACAGCCACAAACCAGAACTTCTGAGGCAAAAGAGACAGAAAGCACAGCATAAACAATGGGTTATTCGTCAATATTCAATGTACAACATATAATAAATATTTTTATGTAACGATATCTACCTATTTATAACGTAGATGGAAAATAATCGATATTAAAAAATAACACAGGGCAAAGTTCCTGCTCAGGTAATAGGAAATGGTCAGCATCTCTCCCCAGCAGAAGGGTCTGGAATGGTGATGTGGAGGTCACCACTGACAGGTGCCTCCCCAGCCAGTCTCCCACGCATTTTGCTGTTCTGTAACTCCAGATTAGGGCAGGGAATGTTCTTATGAGCTCAGGTTGCTGCTCTGCCTCGTTGCTGATACAGCCTAATGCAGGTCTGTGCTAAGCAGGCATGGCAGGAGTAGAGGGGCTGCCTTAAAGGATCAGAGCTTTCACCTGGCACCCTGTCTCTGCAGGGGCTTGGGCAGCATCCCAAACAAACCCTTCACTTCATAGAGACAACACGAGTTATTTCGCTTCCCAACAGCCAGAAACTCCTGCTGAGCACAAATGCTGCAGAAGAACAGCACAGAAAACCCACAAGGAACTAATTACACAGACCTAATGGATTATTTTTTTTCTTAGTTTTATAAATCAACCATTAGTTGATGAATATTGACACATAATATCCTCTCTCCAGAAATGCAGGAATCCTCATTACTGGTGGTCATTAACTCAAATACGAGCTTTCTGATGGCTCATATTTGATAACTTGTTGTGTCAATCCACTCCACAATTTAACTTTGTGTCCTGCAAAAACAGATCTCCATTCTTCATTTTTGAGTATCCAGGTGTTTCTCCCAAGCCATTGCACAGTTCTCATTCCCACCAATTGTGAATCTGCAATGAAACTGCTCTGGGAGACAAATGTTTTGATCTTCCTTGCTTGAGTGGTGCCCAAATTGTTTACTTACCAATGTTCATCCAGTAGATATGCAAAGGTGGGATGCCTTTTGGGGGGTTACAGTGCAAGATCACAGAATCTCCATGCTCCACATCCAGGGGCTCGATTTTTTCTTTGGGGAACTTTGGTACACCTGCACAAAGAAAGGAAAGTTCCTCTTTTATTGGTGCCTTTTGAAATTTTGCTCTTTGCTTCCCCCTTAATGTAGTTTTTAGTAAAATATTTACCTCAACAACATCCTTTGGATTCCAGCCTTAAGTTAGTGGTGCAGAGCAACAGCACATTTTACTCAGAGTAGGAAATCCCTCCATTCAGGGATAGTCTGAGTAGGAATCCTTTCATTCACAAAGTGCACAGAGCATGGTACTGAAAGCCAGGCACTGAATGGGGATGTTTAACACTTGTTTGTGATGTTCCTGTGCTTTGCTTAGGCTTTATTTTAACACATTTATTTGCAAACTCTTTCTACAGCTCCTTTGTTTGCAGTGTCTGGAAGGGACAACTCAAAGCCCTAGAGAGACCACAGCCTCAGGCCAAGCCTGGCACAGGGGGCTGTGCCCTGGTGGGTCCCCAAGTGCTCCCAGGAGATGGGAAACCAGCCTGGGAGTGCAGAATGTTCCGGGAAGCTTTGGCCAAAAAGTGGTTCCCAAGGAGCCACTGCAAGTCCCTGCAGGTGAGGACAGACATCAGGTAGCTGTTCCACCTCGTGCCTGGAGTTGTCCCAGTTCTTATCCATCTCCCTCAGATGGAGCAGAAAGCTGGTGCAAAGCCTGTGTTCCCTCCTCATCCCCCCAGGTGTGGAAGCTCAGCCCTGCAGACTTTCTCAGGAAGCTGAGGATGCAGAGACAGGCTTTGCACAAAGATCACACGGGGAGCACAAGGGCTGCACTATTTGGGCTGAAATGCAGGTGAAACAGTTGATGTTTGATCACCCAGAGTGTCAGCACTGACACCAGCAGACTGTGCAAAGCCTGAACCACGCTTGGCCAACCTGGGCAACCTCAGCAGCCCAAAATTCAACCCAAGGGGCATCTGAGAAGAAGGGCAGCAGAACCCCCACCCTAGACCAAGCACTGGGAGGCTGCAGCTCAGAGATTATCACCAAGAAACCAGCCTGCAAAATGGAACCACTCCTTAAAGGAGTTTAGCTAAGGCAGTTTCAGGGCTGACGTTTTCTCCTGCTCTTGTTTCGGGCAAGTTCAAACTGGCACAAAGTTTCAGTTCAAGCAGCTGCCTCAACCAGCAAAATGAACAGCAATTAAACAGCAAAGGAATGAAAATGTCCTTTGGCTGAGTAGAGTCGGGCTGGCACAGCAAATATCACCATCAAGTCGTGACAGGGAGCTCTGATAGTGCCCACACAACCTGACACATCAGTGGTCCAGCAGCTCTGCAGGGAACCTGCAGCATCACATTGCAGGAGAAAAGCCGAGGAGGAGGGTGGGAAGTGCAGGGACAGGACTCAGAGGACACTTCATACCTTTCAGGGTTAGTAAACACAAAAAAGAAGCAATCACTACAGTGCTGATTGCCTGAATGCAGAGTGTGCAGAGATTTTATCTCCAGGAGGATTATTAGTAGGTTATGAATTCTTAGGAGAGGCAAAATGGAGCTAATGAGCGTCACCCACCCTGTAGGTGAAATTTCAGGTAAAAAAGAAGAATTACATATTCATATCCAGTCCATTCAGCAACCTAAATTCTTCAAGCCCTGGAAAATACATCTGCTGACTGCAGAGATGAATGGTTTCCATCAGGAAAAAGCCAATTTGTTGATCTAAAGCTTGTTTGTTCCCAAGAAACATCACTCTCAACAGAACTTCAAGTAAGCTGGATCAAGTGAAGGATAAGGGGTTTCTGACTAAACCAGAGACCAGTAAATAGACCAATAGTGGGATCATTCATGTAGGACATTGGAAACTCGTTCAAACTCATTTTTTGCCTCATTTAGCACAACTAAATCTAGGTCTCCAGTCTCCCAGTTGGGTGCCATAACCACTGGTCTTCTCAGTGAATTTCTGCAGCCAGTAATTACAGAATTACACAAAAATACAGAGTCCCACCAGGAGCGAGTGAAAAGTCATGGTCTCAGTGTCATTAGCTGAGAGCACAGCCATTCATCTCCAATGTGTGGCCCAGATTTGGCATCTGGACTTCACTGGGGGAAGCAGCAATTTGACCCCAAATGTCCTCCACCTCAAACAAGCACTTGCACCACAGCTGACTGAGCCTTTTGGGCTCTTCCCTGCTGGTTTTTTTTGCTTATTTCACTGGTGAAAAAGATTGAAAAATCTCTGATTTTCCCTCTCATAAGGTATAAATTTGAGTGTTTTGAATCCTTGAAGCTTTGTAAACGAGGAAAAGACTCAATTTCATGATAAATTCCTGAGCCAAACCTTCTGACAAGTGCATTTTTTTTTTTTTGTGGCCTCTAACACTAGAAAAAGACCTGCTCTGAATTCTGATTTATTAAAAATAAGAAGCTACTGTCACATTAGACTTTGGCTTTTGAACATCAACCTCCAGGACATACATGTAGGCAATATTTTGGATTTTTTTTTTTGAATTGTTCCTGTGTTCTAATTAGGAGATATTCCAGAATCAATCACTCCTGATTCGTGGCTAATCAGAGGAACAGCTACAGGTAAGATGGAAACCTGCACACCTGATATGGAGACGTCTCCCAAATGCCCCCCATGGCATCTGAAATGCTCAAAATACCTGGGAAAAGCTTCACTGCCCGAATGGTTTTTTTTCCTGGGAAAAGGTTTGCTGCCCAAGCATTTATTCCTGACAAGGCAGCACCGTGACAGCTGCACAGCACTCACAAACCAGCCTGAAAGTGCTCTGGCAGTGTGTGAACCATGGAAATGGAAGATTATCAGTGTCCAGAGTCGCCTGTGCAAGGAGCCAGGCTCTGCTTAATCCCTGGGGTGACTCAAAGTTCAATGAGAGGAGCCCGAAGCACCACTGGCAAATTAGGGTGGCTGGGAGAAAATTCAGAAGGGAGCCTGTGTGCCCCCCTCCTCCTCCTTATCTGCTCAGAAAATGCAGCATCTCAACCAAAAACAAACAGGGGGGGCACCAACACAATGCAATATAAAATCCACATTTGAGTTTAGCCACATAAATTCACAAACACAGCAACCAGAGCTGGCTTCTCCAGTCCCCAGAACTGCTGATTAACTCAAGTATCTACTGGCACACCGTGTCCCACAGCTTGGGTTTTGTCCTGCTGCTGACTGCAGTGACTTCACACTATAACTGTACCAATTATGGCAATTTATTCCACTTTACATGAGAACACACCCAATTCAATCTGTTATTTTACATGTTTCTCATCAAGGTGTTGAGAACTTGAAGGAAAAGCATTTCTCCAGCTAACTTGTCCTTGAGACCCCTGTGCCTTGTTTGTGCTGGTGTCTGATGTAAAATGGGAGTCAATTCTTTATGATAAATCAACAACAAACAAATACATTGGGAAGCTATTGTAGAAAAACATCACTATCCACCAGGTCTATTTTTAGAACCTCCTCTGTGGATGCTGCTGGAGATTTGTCCTGGGGTAGAGCGATACTTAGCCCGACCCATCATGGATATTCCAATATTCTTCCATGCAAATAAATCCTCAAAGGATGTAAAAGTGAGAGAAAGCAGAAACAGTCAGGAAATTTTGATATCCTGGCACTTTCCAGCTCCTTGGACACTTTAATTAGCATTTAATTGGGATTTTTCATGCAGATCTGTATCCTGTGCAGCAAGCAGCCCAACATTATCAAAGAATCTCAAACATGACTTTCAGTCCTCAATCACAGTGCACCTTGGGAAGCTTCCAGTGCTCATCTCTGTGCCTCAGTTGATATTATGAGCCACGTGAGCAGTAGTTAAATCTGTAATTTTCATTGCAGCCTTTGAAATGTTTATGAGATATAATCCTGCTTATTTATGGATTTTTTAATTGCTGCATTAAACTGAAAAAGTTACCAAAGTCTGGCTGCCAAGAAGACTGTGGCAATCAGTCTGCTCTCCCCCAGAGATGTGGGGTGGAATCAGTGATTTCCTTTTCCTGTATAAATCTCTCTATCACCCTTCCCAAAATGTTGGTTGCTGGCAACAGAGTGAACCCAACAATTCAGATGGGCAGAAAAGTTCTCACAGGTACAGGACGTGGTTTTAGGACATAGGAGGGGTAAATTTTATTTCCATCACCTGCAAAGTCTCAGTGAGTTCCTCTCTTTTGTTTAATTTTCCATAAAGGCCACAGCAAACACAAAGTGGGTCACTGAGACCTCTGAATTCAGTATCAGCTCAGCATTTTTAACGGATTTCACAATATTTCACAAAAACCTGGGTTTTTGAATATTAGCACAGGTTTGGCTTTCTTTGGGAATTCCAGAACTCACATCATTGGCAGAGCACAGCCTGCCACCAGACAGTTTTATATTTCCATCCCCAAATCTCTGGGCTTTTGGAGCAGCAGCTTTAGAAATACTGAGCATAAATCTTAAGGCAATCTACCATGAAGAGTCTTTTACATCACAGTTAATTAAAGAAGTTTAAACTGTACTTCTTCTCCTTCCTCTGGCACGGGGCCTGCTCACTAATTCAAGCAACAGATTCCCGAAATCCAGGAGGAGGGGAGCTGAAGTCTGTGTTCTCACCATTTAAATTCATTTTCCTGCTGCATGTATCTTGTAACAATCTGGCCTTTGTTAGTGCTGCACACAGATCAGATCCTCAGAGCCCATTCTTCCCCCTCTCCTTAATGTCAGCCTATATAGGGGAGGTGGGGTATTTTCATTATGTAGGTGAGATTTAATGATCATTTCTGCTGACATTTCTATTGCTCTCCTGGAATGACTACTGTGAGTAAACAGTCTTTTGTTCTCCTTTTCAGCAGCCACCTCACAGGCCCAGTATTCTGCTGCTGCAGTGTAAATGTAATTTATGAAAGAAACTGGCCCTCTCTGGCTCTCTGGGGTTTTCTTCCCTTCACTGGCATGGTGACTTGCCAAGCAGCTTTACATTGGACTTGAATGCAGCTGGCAAAGCTTTGCCACCTCTGCATCATTCCATGAATGCGTGGACTGATCTCACATGTACCAGTCTCGGCTTCAAAACCGGGGGGTGAATGGAGGTGATTTATCCCCAGCTCCCCCGTCAGCAACTGCTGATTTACAGCGGATCTGTGCACCAGCAGCTCCTTCACCTGGCCACAGTCGTGGACCATCCAGCACTTTAGAAAACCAAATGTGCCTTCTATTCCTCTCTGAATCTTGATTTTGTTTGCAGCATCTACACTGCACCATTAAATGAAAGAACTGATGGCAGAAGAGCACTAATAACAGCAAATGTGCTTTAGGAGATGTATGAGTTGGGTAAATCCCTCTAATAGATTATCTGCACCATGTATTTATTTCCTGGGTTTAGGACTTTGCATATATTAGCTCTAAAATTCCTCTTGCACTTGATAACAACCGTGTTTGTGACCTCTCAGTGAATTTGTTGCTAAGTGCTCCCAGTATATTTAATATCTACTCAAGCTACTATAGCCAATTTTTCATTAAAAGCAAAAAATACCTGCTCTGAGTAAAAATTCCATAATCCCAAATACAGACATCATTGTTTTCAGTTTTAAGCATCTTTTTTAGTTCAGCAGTTCATGTCCTGGCCCTGTGAGGCTGAGAAGGCTGTGGAGGAATCCCCTGCCACGTGGACACACCAATTCCAGCTGTGCAAAGGGCTGTCAGATATCTGATAACAAAATATCGGAGGAGCTTGGAAATGCAGGATCTAACCTCGAAAAAATCCCACTGCATTGCTGAATCTCTTCTTCCTCTACATCCCACAACTGCTTTGTACAGCCTGTTCCATGGTTTCCCCCTGCTCCATCCTGGAGAACTTTCTTCTCCTTTCTACTCTTACAAGGAAGGTTCTGCTTCAGATTTTTCTCCTCTAATTTCATATATTTCAATCCTGAATTTAAGACACTTGTGTGTTCATCTTCCAAACTAAAAGTGATGAAATGTGTTGGTCCAAAGACACTTCTGTCAACTTCAGGACATGGTCTAATGTTGGACCTGGCAGTGCTGGGTGAATGTTGGACTCCACCATCTTCAGAGGTCTTTACCAACCTTAACGATTCTTCGACTCAATAACATTGTCCTAACCAGGACCCTGAATTTTATATCCATAAATTTCACCCCACTTCTGCTCTCCTGGTCCTTAATCCCTCATTTCCCCCTCTTTGCTGGTGATGGAAGGACAAGTTTCCAGGGTCACTAATTTTCACTGCCATATTTTTGAGCTCGTTTTCCACTCAGTTCCAGGCCTTTCATATCTGAAAGTGTTTATTATCCCAAACCCAGAGTGCTCCTGACATCAGACTAATGAACTCCCAGCTGACTGAGTCACTTCCCCTGGAGCTTTCAAACATTTGCATCAGTTGCTATTTTGCTGTAAAAACCTGCTATTTCTGCCATCCTTCCCCCCAGCTCCTGATTCCCTGTTCCCAGCTCTGAGATGGGACCATGGGAACAGCACTCAGTCACGGTTGCTGAGCTGAAATGTTGGTCCTACGACCCTTAACAGCTTTTGTTGTCCAGTAAATGTTTGGAAAGCAAAAAGCATCACATAATTTCTCATTTCTTAATAAGTAAAATTACCTAATATTAGAGAGATCATGCCAAATTTAGCTCAGGAGTTTCCCCAAACTCACAAAGTGCTTTTTACAACATTTCACCAAAGTCATCTGACTCAAACCAGTTTTGTTTTCTCTGACAACTTCCTAATCCTTTATTGCCCACTACATTTTGACTTTTTAATATAATTCTAACACTATTTCATGAGCCATCCCATTACTTTTGTCTTTCATGAACAGCTAATGCCTTTCAATAACTGTACTGCCCTTAGGTAACTACTTTGCCATATTTTCTGCTATTTGCTTTATCTCTCCAAATATTTTAATTCCTATATTTTCATGATGTGCTGGCATCAGCTCACAAACAAATTGTCTCTGCCCAGATTAGTTAGAGAATTTACCAGCCTACAACTCTCATCAATATTTATGCTTTCTTCTTTACAGAAAGAGGAAAGTATTAGAAGTGGAAGCATCACAAGAACAAGCAGTGGCTCTAAACAAACACAAATCAGAAAAGAATTCTTATGGGTTTTATGGCAAAGGCATTTTAAAAGCCAACTCAAAGCAAACAATCATTTTCTGGTGTTGAGCTTTCAGCTCTCCTGAGATGGCTATCAAAAAGTTGATACTAATTTACTCACTAACCCACCCTCTAGAGGCAAAGTGGGGCAGAAAATGCTCAAAAAAAGCAAAAGTAAATAATAAATGTTCTCCAAAATACTGTATCTGGGAAAACATATCCATAATCTACCCAGTTTCATTTGTATGCAGTTGGGAAGGAGTGTCAGTAGCTGCACTTGGGAGTTGACAGTCCAGGGGTCTTGTCTGAAATCCTGCATCCAGATTTGATTTCTGTCCTCAAAACCAGGAACTAAATTAAGTCATTCCAGGGACCAAATAAGAACTTTTCCTTTGAATATTCACTGAATAACAAACAGTTCATGTTTCACCATATACCACCTTAAGAACCAGTTCTTTCTCATTTCACTTGAGGAAACACCATTCTCATCTTAACAATAACAATAATAATAATAATTTCAACCCAGAAGTAAAGTAAAACCCTTACTTGGAACAATTAGCTCAATTTCTTCTGACATGGCAGTTCCCAGCACATTGGAAGCAAAGCAACGATATTTCCCCTGGAAATTGTTGATGATTCCTCGGTTTTGAATCACAAAAGTTCCAGAGTTGTTGGATGTAACTATCCTCGGGTCAGACAGCAAATCAAATGGTTTTCCATCCTTAGTCCAGTTAAAGCTGAAAAACAATACAAGTGTTACAAGGGCAGGTCCCAGAGCAGCACTGTGGGACTAAACCAGGGGTACCTGTGGGTCCAAGGGGGTTTTGTTGAAACAAAAGGACATCAGAGGAGAGATTTGAACGGCAAAATGAGCACTGTGCTGCTCTGACTTGTGCTGGCTCTTGGGCACATCTCTCCTCCTGGACACTTTGCTTTTGGGCAACTCGCTGTGACGTGAAATGGGAACACAGAGCTTAAGGCAAGGACAGTGAACTATCTGTGAAAGCCAGAGCCACCCCCTGGAAGCAGCTGGAGGTTTGCAAAGGGCTGTGTCTGTAGAAGAGCTGGTGGCTTTGCACTGGCAGGGGCTGACAGGAGCTTTTCTTGCCATCTCCCGTGGCTGGACACAGGAGAAACCGAGGTGATTCCACTGAGCTCCTCCTTTGCCACAGAATCACCTGTAGTTTTAATGTTACTGGGGTGTGATTTTGATGAGTGCCGAAATATTTGTCACATGTCCCCTATCTGGAATTCTCAGATGGATTGAAATTTGGCTACACTGATCCAAAATCTGACAGATGGAAATTAGAATACTTGCATTTAGTGGGAGATGTACCTTTTTTTTTTTTTTTAAAGAGTATTGTTTCCAGGGAATAAATTAATGTCAACAAAACTGTACATTTTGTCACTTCCCTAGTTTTGGCAAAACTGCCTTGCTGCAGTATGGAGGGAATCTGGGTTCCTATCACCTAACAGGCACTATCACATCATTTAAATAGAACAGAAAACTTCTCATTGATGCACTGACAATCTGTGAAACAAAGGGAATTTGTTATCATGCTACAAATCCCCATTCAGAGCTCAATTACAAGTGATTAAGTAATCTTGATATAAGGTACAAAAAAACCTTTTTAAAGTTTAAATTGTGTTGCCGAGAAAGGAGAAGGGAAGGATTAAAGAGTAAAAATGACATGCAAACCAGCTATTAATTTATCCCATTCAGTGTGGAAAGCCTCAGGAGGAGCTTTTACTGTGTTATTATTACATTCTTGTTAATCACATTTTCATTTAAAATCTTTCTCTTTTCTACACCTCTGTAAAATACATAAAGCTTATCTTTGGATATTTATTTGAATGACTCCTAATGTGTCCATTTGCAACATCACCACGGCCCTGGTGATGTCAGGTACAGACAAGTTATCTGATAAAATGCAAATGTGATGTCTGAATACATGATTTAATGTGTTTGGTATTTTTAGGGCGGCTGTGGAAAAGGCAGAAGAGCAGCTGGGCTCCTTTGATTATTATTACACACCTCCTATCTTTTGCAGCACAGCCCAGACAGGGTTTTTTTAAATCAGGGGGTGAACTTAGCACGTGCCAGATAAATGGAACATCTCCCAGAAAGAAAAAAAAAAAACCCAACATGTTGATACCTACTCACAGAGTGAGGGGAAGTGATGGAGCAACAAAAACTGAATGGCCCAAGTGGAAACCCAAACCTTAACCACGATGATGAGCAGGATAATGTGCACCAGCCACCCACAGCCAAGAACAATGCCTGGCAAAGGTTAAAAGCAAACTCTGCTTCTGCTGCTTCTCCCAGCACTACTCACGTGGGCTGTGGGTTTCCTCTGGCTTCACATTTAATTGTAAAGTCCTCATCAAAGGGGTAGGCAACCTGGGTGTGGGATTGCTCCGTGATGGTTGGAAGCTGTGAAACTGGAGCACAAAGAGGTATTGGGGTTAAATCACCACTCAAGCAAATCTGAGCTCCCTCAGGTCCCTCCTTGGAAAGGGACGATGTCAGGGTGGCCCCACTCCTGCCAAAAGGGAGCCCTGGCCTGAATAAGAAGATGATCCTCGTCCTCCTGGCATGGCCAATGCTCTCTGCTCCCCCAGACTGGTCACTGGCACTGCCCCAGTGGCCAAGGAAAGGGTTGGCAGCACAGATTGTGCCCAGCCCACGGGCATCACCTACTCACACTCCCCTGGCCAGCCTGCCCAGGGCACAGCAGAGCTGGGGCTGTGCTAAAGCTGCAGCCAAAGCACGGGGCTGTGGGCTGGGAAATTTATTCATGGGGGAAGGCAAAAACTGGCTCTTAATCCAGACACAGATTCGCACACGTGAAGTAGCAAACTTGTATCTCCATCCTGGATAGAATTGCCAGGAAATCCATGGACTGCAAGGATGAGTTTAATACCCCTCCAGGGTGCAGAGTTACCACTCGCACGGTCACGCAAGGATGTTGCACTAACACATTATTATTATTTTTTCTGAGGGAATTAAAGTGTTGCAAATGCCTGTGTGAGAGAGCCACACGAGGGAGAACACTCCCTGCAGCAGGGCTGGGGATAATGGGATCATCACATTGTTATAAACAGCCAGGAAGAGAATTAACATGCTCTCTGGTTGCTGCTTGGAGTCCAGGAAGCCCAAAGCTGGAGCGAAATGTGGTGTCTTATCATGTCATGTGGTCTCAAAGCTGAACAGTTCTAAGACCACCAGCTTCCCTGACCAGAAATAACTCTTTGTATTAAAATATAAAATGCTTCATTAGAGCAAGTTAATGGTGATGTGGTTCCCTCACGTAAAAGCAGTGGGTGCCCAGGTAGTTTGTCCTGCACTTCACAGCCACAGCTCCACTTCTGTTTTACTGAAACTCAAGGAGCTGCTGCAGAACCTTCCTGAAAAAAAACAAACCTCTATTTTCCAATGCAAATTGGGACAGCTTGAAAACAATCTCCTATAACCCTGCTTGGTTGCCTTCCCCTTTGCAGCCAGGGCTGTTGGCAGCTCCAGAGTGCTGACAGCTCATGCCAGCTCCACAGGATGCCCCAAAACTGCCTCATGTCCTACTCTGGGGCCACATCCCTCAAAACCCTGCAAAGAGCCTACATGGCTTTTCCCTTATGAATTATTCTCATAATTCATAAACTCCAATATTGTTGAGTTTTGCTTTGTTAAGGCTGTTTAACACCAAGCCTCCCCCCTAAAAAAAGCCAAAACAAAACAAAACCAAACCCAAAAACTCTAGTGTACTTTGCAACCCTCCTGGTCCATTTATATTTGGAAAAGGCAAAGCTCAGAGGTCTGGGCTGTTCTCCAGGCAGTGGGGTCCACTGGCTTTGCTTGGATTGTTCCCTATGAGCCTCATCCCATATTTTACACGTGTCCTGGAAGCACGTGGACCGTGGAAAACAGGCAGTTTAAATGCACCACAGCCAGAGAAGGATGCAGGAGGTGCTCCCTGGGGGGGGTACAAGGTGTACAAAATACCCCCCTGGGGAGCAACATCCACCCTGAGCCACACACCTGCTCCTTTTCCAGGCTGGAATGGCAGGTTGCAAGACAAGAAAGCAAGGATATACGTACATCAAACAAGCTTGGGGGAGATTCAGTGCCAAAATGAGGAATTTATGTGAAGGACAAACCCAAACCCTCGGAGCTAAGCTGTGTGTTGGATGGCAAACACCAGATATATGTTATTAGACAAGTTCACTGCTACATTTAAACAGGCAAAAGCAGAGTAGTTTACTTTGTATCACACCTGAATTTCCCAAAGGCCAGGTTGTGGCAGGATTAAATTTAAAATGGAACAACTGGAAAGGAGGATTTAATATTTTTCTTTCGGGGGAAGTTTAAAAGGAAAAAAAAAAAAAAAAGGGATACCAAACAAACCAGCAAAGTGTACAGCAAATAACTACAACTCACCTGATAATGGTATTTCAATAGCTGCTGCCAAACTCAATACAAAGAAAAACAGGCATATGGGGATGCCTTTTGTGCTTAATAGCATCTCCATCACTCTTCTGTAAACAAGGAGTCCAAACAGAATGAGAGATACCTGGTGCTTCCTCTCCCAGTCACTTCAAATCAGACGTAGGGATGTGAAAGTGGAAGTCTAGTGAGGAGAAGAAACAACAATATTATCCTTTAAAATGAACTTGGGTCTAACAGAGTTATAAATTAAATAAATGCTTCAGCTAAACTGCAAATTGCACTGTGGTCCAATTTCCTCTCCTCTCCCTCCATCCATTGGTTTCGAGAATAACCCCTATTATATCTCTAACAAAAATATACATACACAAAAAGTACAACTCTATTATAGCACAGAAGTATAATGGTGGGGTTTTTTGCTTTTTTTTTGTTTTGCAATTAAAAGTAGGGATGGTTTAAAATGCAGTATATTTGTAATCATTCCAGTTCATAAATTTTTCTAATGAGAGTTGTGTAAGTTGGAAAGTAATGTAACAGATCTAATGAGAGAAATTTGGTACACTAATGACCTTGTTCGTAAATCTCATCCGTCTTTTATCTTTCATTTGTGCTTAAAAAAAAAGGACACAATCTCATTTAGTTCATTAATAAGGACCAGAACATGAAACATTTGCTTTTCCTCCATAATCCCAGAACTCCTATAGGTAGGTTTCACACATTCCATTATACACCCTTAGGTTCTTCATTACAAGGCAAAAATGTCTTTTAGCTGCTAAAAGGAGACATATCCAGTGCTAATGAGCATTCAAGTGTAATTCACAGAGAAGTAAAAGTCTGCTTTAGATCAGACAGTAGGAAGCAATTGTTCCCTGGGAGGGTGGGCAGGCCCTGGCACAGGATCCCAGAGAAGCTGTGGCTGCCCCATCCCTGGAAGTGTCCCAGGCCAGGTTGGACGGGGCTTGGAGGAACCTGGGCTGGTGGAAGGTGTCCCTGCCCCTGGCAGGGGGTGGCACTGGGTGATCTTTGAAGTTCCTTCCAACCCCAGACATTCTGTGATTCTTTGATTCTACAGATGTGGGTGCACAGAGGATTTCATGCGGTTTCATTCACGGTATCTCAGTGAATTATGAACGACTCTTAGGTGTGTTTTGTACCTGTGCATCCTCGAACTCCTAAGGCTAAGAGACACCAGTCCCAAGAGAATTTAGACCCCAGTTGTCAAGATAACTTAACAAGAGCCATTTTTAAGACAAGTCTAACATGCTGGAGCAAAGGACCAACCCTCAGCCCCCAGTCCTGTGCACACAGTGAGCTCTGACTCCTGCCACCAAGTTCACAGGCAGAGCTGCACGACCATGGCAATGCATTTCCAGACTAAGCCTGGCTCAAACACAGCTCTTGGATCTTTGCACATCCCACCCAGTTAATCCAGGGATTAGAAAAGCAATCCCGGGATCACCGGGAGCAGTTGGCGTTGGGGGCAGGGGGGAGATGGAACCCAGGGATGCTCGTCCTTGCCCAGCACTGCTGGAGCAGGGACAGGGCTGAGCCATAGCCCACACACACAGGGTTTTCTCCTCACTGTTGGTTTGCTGGACCTCTACAAAACACAGGCATAAAGCAGAGATTCCCCTTTTACCCAGCACGCTCCCTCTCGCTTCAGCTCTTGGAATTCAGCAACGGGTTGTGCTGTGGCCCTTCCTCCAGGGTAATTTCTGTTCATGTGGTTCCCCAGCTCATGAAAACTTCCTGGAAGGTAAGGACTGTGAGACTGAAATCCTTGGGTGAAGGTGGAAATTGGCCAAGGAGGGGCAGGCGACAGACACCATAATCACATAAGCCTCATTTGTTTAGAAACGAGGCTAAAAACCAGATGTCTTATAAGTATCTTAGGCAGCGAGTGTTTGCTGATGGAAGGACCTGACTAATCTGCTTAGTGCTGGTTTCACAGAGGGGGATGGTGCAGAAGGGCACCAGAGGGGACAGAGACCCTCTGGCTTTGCTGCCACCCCCAGGCTGTTCCTGAGTGCAAATCAGGCCAAATCAGGCAACACCAGCAGGTTCTGTTCTGTGGCAGTCGGTGTTTCCCGCAGTCTGAGTTCTCCTGGCTCTAACTTGTGACTAATGGACCTTTCCAACCCTCAGCCTGCTAAAAGCTGGGCTGTGTGACAGCCTGGGGGGCCCCCAGGACACGGAGCAGCCCCACCTGATGGCTGCTGTCACCGCAGGACGGGGCTGCCACCCTCCCTCACCTGCTCCTGGCAGACACTCAGCTCCAGATCTGTGTCAGCCACAGCAAAACAGATGCTCTGACAGCAAACCCTCTGGACACAGAATTGCAATTTAGGCTCGTAAAAATCTGACCAGTTTTGCTGCCTGCAGATGGTACATCCATGGCAGTGAAATCCTCCTCTCCCCCATCTGCTGGCAGCTCTGGGGACCGGAGCAGGCAGGTCAGGATGCCAACCAGAGGCAGGAGAGCTGGGATTCCAGGAGGTGTGCAGCCTGCTAAGGTCACAGGCTGAGCAGCAGCAAGTTTCTTTTTATATCAGTGTTACAAAGCATTGTGTAGATTCAGATTAAATTCAAGAAAAAATTAAAAACCAGAAACACAACTCAATTCCTCACCCAAACCCATCAGCTCACACCTTATTTTTTTCTTATTTTTTTTTTTAATAAAGTGACAGAGCAAAGCAGAAACATTCCAAATAAGCAGGATATCCTTTATCCTGTGCTACAGCACGACTTGCCTCTGCAGGCTGCTGTAATTAGTTGGCCTGTCTAGCGCCTCGCTCCTCTTCCCTGGCTGGAATACTAATGCAGGGGCTGACAGCACCAGCATTGGGAAGCAGCCAGCACAGGGGGACTGGTGCTGCTGGACTTTTGAACAGCCAGCAGATACTTCCAGAGGCCACTTGGAAATCTCCCTGCACTGTGTTTTACCTTGGCTGGTTTGTTCTGGGGTGGATTCCCTAAGGTGCAGTCCCAGTGTCAGAGGAATTAACAAGAGGAATTAAGCACCTCCATCTTTGTGGAGGTGTTGGCCTAGAGATAACTATCCAGCAGGATAAGCCTCCTGTTCCTGTGTCATACATATTATTCCTAATGGAGTAGCAGAGGTGTTATCCAGGCTGTCAGTAGGTATTATGGAATGCCAACCCTTTATCCACATCTCCCCCAACGTGCCCCACTGAACCAGTCTCTTCTGCACCCTGCTCTGGACAATGCTGGTCCTCAGAAGATGGACAGGTGAGACTCATCCTCCCAGCAGAGAGCTGTGCCAGACATTAACCTTATTTAAGGTGATTATAGATAGGGCTGCCAAGCTGTAGGTGTTTAGGATGGCTGTAGGTGTTTAGGATGGCTGTAGGTGTTTAGGGTGGCTGTAGGTGTTTAGGGTGGCTGTAGGTGTTTAGGATGGCTGTCACACCCTTGGCTGTCCCACCAAGCCTCAGGCCCACAGCTCAGCTGAAACTGCAGAGATCCTGATTAAATCACCAACCTCCCCTCTCATCTCCAGCACCCAAACAACCCCAAGCCCCTTCCTAAATGAGCCATATCAGACATCCTCCATCAGATGCCCAGACACCCATCCATCCATCCAGACAGCCCATCCATCCCGGCTTCAAACACAGCCGCATTACCAAACTCCAGACAGCACAATCTTTCCCTCCTGTGATGATTAAACTCCAACCCAAAAGTTCTCATCTTGTGCCAGCTCCTAGCAAACAAACAATTTAGTTTCTTAAGTAATCTGGAGACAGAAATGAGGGAGCTGTGCAGGCATTTGGCAGCTGTGGGCAGGTTTCGGTCTCGCTGGTGCCAAAGCACAGCTCTGTCCTTGGGGGTGGGTAAGTGCCAGAGAGCACCTTGCAAAATCCTGCCTTGGTTAAAACACCAGCCCTGCTCTGAGGCAACGCTGGGTCAGGCCCAGAGCTCCTGCTTTTCATGGAATCACTGCATGGTTTAGGTTGGAAGGGACCGTAAAGCCCATCTTGTCCCACCCCTGCCATGGGCAGGGACACCTTCCACTAGCCCAGGTGTCTCCAAGGCCCATCCAACCTGGCCTTGGACACCTTGAGGATGTGGGGCATCCACAGGTTCTGTGAGCAGCCTGTTCCAGTGCCTCAGCATCCTCACAGGGAAGAACATCCTCCCAATATCCAATCCAACCCTGCCCCCTGTCAGTGTGAAGCCATTCCCCCTTGTCCCATCAGGACATGCCCTTGGGAAAAGTCCCTCTCCAGCCTTCTTGTGACCCCCTTCAGGTACTGCAAGGCTATGAGGTCTCTCCAAAGCCTTCTCTTCCCTTTTTTTCCAGGAATTCCACCTCCTCCTTTGTTCTCACAAGGAGCTGGCTGCAGCATCCCTTGGACCAGGGAGAGGGCCACCAGATTGCCAAAGAAAACCTTTCATCTACCAAATGAATGAACATGTATTGATGCAACAAATGTTACATTCACAACCCCTCCTCTTCCTTTTGCTCCCCCCTCCCCTCCTCTCTCCATTTCTATCCTTCTATTTGCTTTTCTCTGCCTCAGGCTTAAGGCAAGTAATTTGAATTCACTGCAAATACTTATCTGTAGTTCCTTACCTGCAATTCATTATTTACTGTGCTGTTCAGTTAATAGTAAATACTGATTGCTCTAAGGACAGCTCATTTGTTTGTTTAATGAGCTGCCTTTAACTTACACTGAGCAAATCTTTCAAAATATCAGTTTTTCCAAGGAACAATGCAGTTCCAGATTCTTTTATTATACCCCCTTGCTTCCAGAAGGATGTAATAAAAATACTGGACAACCAAACAAGAAAAAAAAATTAAATTTCCATTTATCTCATCAACCTAGTGAAAAATTTTCCCTACGTGTAATTACTACATTAAAATTGCTCATAAATAGCAGCAGGATGACAGCCAAAATTCCCAGATTACTGGTCTACTGCTTCCAAGAGAAATTATATTGCACTACTAAATATGGCATCTACCTCAGCTGTTTGGTTCCCTCTTCAAATATGTGAGGTTTGGTCCTTATTTAAGTCCTGTACAGCACAAATATTCAGGAAAGTACTGGATTCCCACACCTTAACACTGGGACATCTCTGGGCTAAGTTCCTCATTAGTGACTTGTATGTGACAGGATTTTTAAATAAAAAGCCATTTGTAATTAGAAATGACAACCTTCTGTA